GATACCAAAAGCTGGGAAGTTCTCCTTATATCAGATAAAAAAAGAGTTAAAAAAAAAAAGGCTGTAATAAGAGACAAAGATGGACATTACATAATGATAAAGAGGTCAACCCAACGAGGAGATACAACATTTGGAAATTCTATGCATCCAACATAGGAAAACCTAAATATGTAAAAGGAGTGTATCAGTAGACCTAAAGGGAGAAACAGAGAACAATACAAGTAATAGTAGGTGACTTCGATACCCCACTTACATCAATACCCCACTTACATCATCAGCATTAGACAGGTTAACTTAGCCAATATTTATATAACACTCCATCCAAAAGCAAAAGGATACACATTTTCTTAAGTGCACACAGAGTATTTTCCAAGATAGATCATATGTTAGGCCACAAAACAAGAGAATTCAAATCCTATCAGGCATCTTTTCCAACCACAGTGGTATAAAACTAAATACTGATTACATGAAGAAAACTGGAAAATTCACAAATACATGGAGATTAAACATGCAAGTGAACAATCAATGGGTCAAAGAAGAAATCAAAATAGAAAACAAAAAATGCCCTGAGATAAATGAAAATGGAAATGGAACATACCAAAAGCTATGGGCTGCGGCGTACACAGCTCCCAGAGGGAAGTCGCAGCAATAAATGCCTGCTTCAAGAAACAAGAAGAACCTCACCTGAACAACCTAGCATTTATTAACATCTCAAGGAATTAGAAAAAGAACAAACGGAGCCCAAAGTTAGTAGAAGGAGGGAATTAACAAAGATTAGAGCGGAAATAAATGAAAGAGACTAAAAAGACAATAGAAAAGATCAATAAAACTAAGAACTGGTTCTCTGAAAACATAAAATTGACAAACCTTTAGCCAGACTCACCAAGAAAAAAAAAATAGAGAGGACTCAAATAAATAAAATTGGAAATAAAAGATGTCGCAATTGATACCACAGAGACACAAAGGATCCTAAGACACTATGCTATGAACAATTGTACTCTGACAACTTGGATGGGTCACAATATAATTATACTGAATGAAAGATGTGTGGCAAAAGCAATCTACAGTGACAGAAAACTGGTCCGACGTTGCCTGGGACTTAGAGGCGCAGGACGGAGGAAGGGGAGCTAGATTATGAAGAGGCAGGATTCAGCTTCAGAGGACAGTGGTTATGCTCCTCATCCTGATTGTGACGATGGCTTCATGAGTGTGTGTGTGCATCCAAACCCACTGCATGTGCACTCCAAGTGTCCCAGCTTAACGTATGTAAATTACATTTCAATAGAACTTTAAAAAAAAAAAAAAAGCGTGGCTGCAAAAACCACCACCACAAAGGCTGAAAAGGCAAATCACAGAGATAAAATAACTAACACATATAACCAACAAAGGACTGGAGATATATAAAAGGACAGAAGATGTGTAAAGAACTCCCACAAATCAACAAGAAAAAGACACACCAGCCTATGGAAATCTGGTAAAAGACATGAATTAACATTTCACAGAAGAAAAACCACGAATGGCCCAAACACATGACAGGATGCTCAATTTCACTCCTAATTATGATACACGAATTAAAACCCACCCATCAGACTGATAAAAACAGACACTGCACAACACCAAGGCGTTAGTGGACATTCGATGCAACATACGTGGGAACAACACAATGACAACCAGCCATGCAAGTGCTCCAGGAATGCATTACACCCTCCACGTGTGCACCAAAATGTTCCTAGAAGCACTATCTACATACTCATGAAATACTGCAAATAACCTAAATGCCCATCAATAATGTAATAAATTTTAGTTTATTCATCAAATAAAATACTACTTAGCAGTGAAAATGAACTCCCGCTATATGCTTCAACACATATGAATCTCAGAAACAGTGCTGAGCAAAAGATTCAATTTGCAGAACATGTATGGAGCAATTCCGTTTTTATTAAGTACAAAAATGGACAAAGGTAAGTAGTATATTGCTTACAGGTATATTAAGTGGTAAAACTGAAGAAAAGGAAAAGGATAATTTACACAAAATTCAGTGGCAGTAACTTCTGGTGGTAGTGGAAGGTGCACAAAGATTTCTAAGTCACTGCTAGCATTCTATTTCTTACATTTGGTGTCTTGGCTACAAATGTTCATTTTACTATTCATGTGAACATACACATTTTATGTACTTTTACTTATACAATATATTTCACAAAAAATGTTCTAAAAAGCTAAAAATGGGTTAATGATAGGAAAAGATGTCAGTGCTAGGAAGGATGGGTTGAGTGTGGTGGCTCAGGGGTGGCTTCTCCAGGGCAGCAGAGCACAGGTGTTGAAGATATCCAGGAAAAGAAAGTGCTGACGTCCACACAGGAGTGTGCCAACAGTGAGTCCAATGGGGCGGGAGAGCAAGGTGCCAGGGCATGTAGAGCTCCCAGGTCATGGCAAGGACTTTGGTTTTTACGACAACCAAGGGTGCTAGGCAGAGTGACAGGATCTGACTTCCCGCTGTTTTAAAACTAGAACCGAGTGAGGCAAGAGCAGAAGCAGAAGCCCCATCAGGACTGCACTGAGGCCATCCAGGCCTGGGGACTGGCGTGGCCCCGCATGGGACTCCGGATGAAGTCTTAAGTAGGACATCAAGTTACTTGTACACACAAAAGAAAGTGAGGAATCTGGATGGACGCAGGGTTTTGAGCCCAAGCAACTGGAAGAATGAGGCTACCGGCACTTGAGACAGGGTTGGGGCACAGCGACAATGCAAGAACCGTGGCTCAGTTTTAACACACGTGAGTTTGGGGCTCCTATGAGATACCGTGCTGGGCAGAATAATGTCCCCCAGAATATGTGAAAGAGACCTTATCTGGCAATGGGGGCCTTGCAGATGTACTCAGGAAAACGAGGCCATCCTGGACTAGGGTGGGGCCTAAACCAATGACTGGTAAGCTTCTAGGAGGGAAAGACAGCCCTCCATGTGAAGACAGAAGCAGAGACTGGAGTTACACCGCCAAAGGCCAAGGAACACCAAGGACTGCAGCGACCACCAGAAGCTCGAAGAGGCAAGAAGGGATTCTTCCCCAGAGCCTTCGAAGGGAGTGTGGCTCTGCTGACACCCTGATCTGGGACTTTTGGCCTTCAAAACTGTGAAAAAATAAATTTCCGTTGCATTAAGCCACCCAGCTTGTGCTACTTTCTTTTGGCCACCCCAAGAAACTCATACCTAAGGCTATCTCTGACATCCCTAGGGAAAGCTAGACGATGTATGAAGAAAAAACCTCAGAAAAGGTATCAGTTGAAAATATTTGGCATTTTTTCCTGGCTCTCTCTCTTTTCTGGTTTTAAGAACTTAGGCAAATCATTCTGCTTCTCTGTTAATTCAATTTCCTGTAAAGTCAGAGGCCTGAACAGAAGCATATCCAAGGTCCTACCACCTCTAAACTTCTGTAGTTCTAGGACTATTCCCAAGTAAAGTCCAACAATGCAAAGACTGGATTGAAGCAGCAACCTGAACTTAAATACTTAAATATAATTCCTTCTCTACAGAAATGAGAAACTAATTCCTGCTCGCAGTCTAGAAACTGGGTGAGACAGAGTAACACAGATCCAGAGACCAGAGTGACAGGAAATCCTAGGTGTTCCTACACATTGACACCCTCCCCCCAGTCCTCCCATCCAGCCTTGGGTTTCCCATAAGGAGACAGAGGCACCAGTCCTTCCCCGGACCCCACCCTCTGATCACAGTGAACTGTTTCTCCTCACTGTCCCCTCCCATTTCCCTCCGAAATATATGTTCCTACTATGGAGGGCACTAGGTAGTGAGCACTGTTTACGCATTTTATTTTTTTAATGTGTTAATAAATATCTACACATTTATTTTAAAGACCTTGCATTTGCAACACTCTGGTTTGCTCCCACTAAACATCGACTCTCTCTGCGCAGTGCCACTGAGATGGTTCAGGAAACTGAGCTGCGTGCATATCTACCAATTATTTCTATGACATCATTATGTAAGGTTACTGTCAACTTTCTTCTGAAGATACTGTCAATGTAACTATAACCGTAAGAGCTAACATTATCGAGAGCTATCTATTAGGTATCCTGTGAAGCACTAGTCTTCCCAGGTGAGGAGAACGCAGGGGTTAAGGCCCATACCAAGGTCAGAGTGCTAAAAAGCAGAAGCTCCAGAAGCCCCGCCCTTAACCAGGAGGGGGCTTCCACCTAGTCTTGCCTGCTCTTCCACCCGATGGACTTGTTACAGGCAATTCTCCCAAGGGAGTACTCTACTGTGAAAACGCAGAATACGGAATGTTCCTGGGTTCTCGTTTCCTCCTTTGCTTTCCCCAAATATTAAGAAAAATCTACGAGGCTTTCTGAACACGATTTAGGAAGGATAACAGGTGGTGGCATTGTTCGAGACCTCCATTCCCTTATTAAAGAGAAAACCAAAAGTTAACCCTTCATCTCAAGACTCATCACAATGCGCTTTTTCTCTTAAAATACTTTTTTAACTGCTGGGTAGGCAATTGAGGCTGTCCTCCCCTCCTCTCTCACTGCACGGAGGCGAGGCTGGAATTACAGAATTCTCCAAATTACTAAAAGGATCAGAGACAAGACAAACGATGACTGAATGTAACTGTAAACATTCCTGAAATAGCACAGCAGTAACGTTCACTTCTGCCGTTTAACGCATCCTCCACAGAAGTTGACAGGCACATTAGGGAGGAGGCGGTGGGCACAGCGGAGCAGAGCAGAGCAACCAGAGACCACTGAGGCTCACTAGCTAATCGTAAACAAACGGGGAGATTCCATCGGGTAAGAGGAGTCCCCGGCTCTGCGGGCAGCTTTCCTGGGCCCCGCACTCCGCTCAGGCCTCATGGAGCAGCGGATGGAGCGGGGCCCTGGCCGGGGCGGGGGCGAGGCGGGGGGACCGAGAGCAAGGGGACCCAGGGTCGCGAGGAGGGAGAAGACGCCACCGCCCCAATGTGAGGATCACGGGTAAGTGGCCCTGGACTCACGTTTGTACTCTGCCATAAGCCTCTTGAGCGCAGTCCCTGCCATCTTCTGGGCAACAGCAGTGCCGTCGGGCCTAAGAGCTCGTATCCTCCCGCCCAGGACACAGTTGCTTCCGGGTCGCCGCTGGGGCTCAGAGGCCCATCCGGTCTGCGAGGCGCGCGTGCGCAGTGGCAGGACGGGTGCGGGAGGGAGCGGGGACCTGCCCAGGGTGGTGACCGGGAGGGGAGGCGAGCATGGCTTTGATGGAGTTGGAGTGGCTTTGGTCCCTAGTTGGGGGCGGGGGCCTAGGCCACTCGGTCGCTTTGTGGGGTTGAAGCCGCTTCCAGCAGCTCAGTTCCTTTAGGGCTTGGTCTTCCCGAAGATTCTGGACGGCAGATTCCCGGGTAGGGTACGTGGTAACCGCCTGTTCCGTCATAGTGGCCGCAGGACATTTTGATGGAAAGCAGAAGAGGCAACGGCAAGGCGAACTTGGCAGGTGTCATTCAGATAAGAGTATTTTTTTAAAGACGCCGAAGGAGGGATGAACAATGAAGCAGCTGCATTTGGTGGTTTCCACCGCAAGTGGCTGCAACATCACCCCCCCACCACCGCTAGGAGCCAGTGACTTTCTCCGAGCCCAACTGCAGCCAAAGGAGACTGTCTCCTAAGACGTTGACACCCGACACCTTCCCACAGGGGTTAATTAGGTTTGGAAAGAGGTGGCTGGCATTGGTAGGGGGGGTTATTCTGCCGGCGTGGCCGGAACTCGGGGTCCCCAAACTTGGCCTCGCGGAGGGAGGAACCTGAGGAGCCCCATGGGGCCCAAGCCGCTGTGGCCAGCCCGCTCACCAGCATGCCCCGGGTGCTGAGTAGCCAGTGCCATTTGTGAAGACTTCCTAAGCAATCACACTGAGGCCGCCAGCAAGTACAGAATGTTTCGTATATCCTTGGCAACTCAAGTTCTGAAGTATAAAAGGTTATTTCACAGCTGAAGGTGGTTTAAGATAGAGCTTCAATATCATCTTCCCCAGCTGTGAGCCAGCCTCGCAGCAGGTACCCTGCCAGGTTTTCCTGGGAGGGAGGGTTCCTGGGAAGTGGGACTTTCAGTGCTGAAACGGGGAAGCACTAGCTGGGACCTGGCCTCCCTGGATAGGATAAATAGGGCGTATCTATTCCTGAAACATCAGTTCAAAGATCCTGGAAGTTAGACTTGGGTAAATATTTTTAAATATTAATACTCAGAGGGATTCCAAAGGCACAATTTGCATAAATTTTAAGAGAAAAGAACCTCCAGGACATACCCTGTTCGTTCTTCCACCATCAGTGCTGTGGGTGGAATTCAGCAGCCCTGCTCTGATGTCCCAAACTCTTAGCCTCACTCTCCTAACTTGAGGGAGGTAGGAGTGCGGCAGCTCCTCTGCGGATGTAACCACCCTGCCCTGTCCACTCTCCAGGGCATCTAGCAAATGACTCAGTCCCTGTAATGTGCCTGAGCCCACCTACTTGACTAGTGTTAATGATCGGGTGCCAGGGTGGATGTGCTGTATCCCTGCTGCCCTTGACCTTGCAGCTTGTGCTCACCTCACTGGACGGACTAAAACACCATGTTCATTTTCAACCCTGGTTTTGTCGCAGCAGAGTCCATTGGGAAGTCCTGTCAGATTAGCAGTTCACTCAGCTTCAAAGCAAGTGAATAGGTTGTCAACCACATAGAGGAAAATTAGTCTGACAGTAAGGCACAAGGCACTAAACAACTTCAGATGCCAGACAGAGGTCCAGCTCTGCTGCCTCCAAAACCCACCCTCCGTTTCCATGCGGCACCCAGGAGAGTAAGTGTTGTCACCATGCCAGTTCAGCTTACCCTATGGGAGAGTTCTGGGGGTGTGGGAGGGTGGACCCCTCAGCAGGAACATGCCGGCCCAGCACGGGTGACCTTGCCAGGGATGTGGGGAGGCAGGGGAGGCAGCACGTGAATACTTACTCTTCAGCAGCTAGCCTCTAACGCTGAGTGGCCTCGTTGAGTGGTCATTGCTGAGTTGTGACAGCTGGCCGCAACCTCCAAACGCAGTATTTAATACAAGAGACAGAATACCAAACTATATTTACTGTTTACAGTAGTAAAGGACAACAAAGAATGTACAAATTGTGAACGAACAGCAGAGCCGGCAGACACCACATCCACACCCCAACAGCGAAACAAAGGAAAGGCAAGATTCCAGGCAAGCAAGAGATGGTCGAGGTCGCACTGTCCGGGTGCCAGATGAGGCAGAGCAGGGCCACCAGGCAGCAGGGGTTCCATACAGAAGGGCAGCAGGAGAACTGAAAGTTTCATAGGTACAGGTTCCAAAATGTTTCACAGAAATGAAATCACAGCTACTGTTTGGAAAGTGGCAGAGCACAGTCCATGGGAACATGAAGTTGTCTTTGCCGGGGGCCCATTTATAACCACACTTTGAAGTAGCTCTTTTACACAAAAACATCACTGCAAAGTCAGCAATACTTAATCTTACTTTTTTATATAGAGACCATAATTATTGATCAGAAGCGAATACTGGAAGAACTCTTGAGACCATAGTACTACTACCAAGTGAGAAACATGGGAATTACTTTCCTCTGTATTAACAAAAGAGGACACCTGGAACTAATACAAAATAATATTGAATGTAAACTGTAAATGAAATTTTTTTTAAAAAAAGAAAAGCCCATTTTCGCCGCACCCCGCTTCGCCCATGCACTGCCAGGGCCCTTGGCCCGCCCCTGCCCAAGCAGACACCAGGGGAACAGGGCGTCCAGGGCCATGCCACTGAGGGGCTCGGTCATTTTTCTTATCACCTTTAAAGAACATTCCAGTATTCTCCCTTCAGCTTTCCCATATTCTCACAAAACTTAAACTTGCAATATTTAGTATTTAAAAAACCTACACAAAACGGTAAGGGCAAGTTTGTCTCCCATCCCCAACACGCCCACAAAACATGCCCCACAGAAGCACCCCCATGTTGGTGCCATGTGCTCTCTACATGATAAAATAAGCAGGAGGACTTGTTCAATACCTAGGGTAAGATCCCCATCTAGACTAAAAGAGGACATTCACACCACAAGCTTAAGGGAAATGTCATAGGAGGGGGAAAGACAAAATGAGAGCAAAAACAAACCCCAAAACCTCGCAACTCATTTTCCTAAACAAACATGACACTGTGGCTGGCCCGGTTTCAGGTAAGGATTTGTCCCTGCAGACAGTTTTGAGTTGCACCCGCAGTATGTCAGAGAGAAAAGGAATTTTGGTGGATGTCCTTGGCTCCTGCAGACTCCTTTGTGATTGGCATGGTCACGTGTTCACTATTCAACAGCAAATGCAAGGACGGTGACAAAGTGAGGCTGGTCCCTCTAGAGACCCCATCCCAAGAGGCAGCCAGTCAGCGGTGAGCCTCCTGTCTGCTGCTGGAAAACGTCAATGGTGTCTTCGTCCTCCATCTCCAGCTGGCAGGATCGATGTGACAGGGCACAGTGAGAGAGAGGAAAGCTGTTAGTTTTCTCACCATCACAAGAACAGAAACTGCTGAACTGACTACGCATGTCCACTGCACTGCCTCCCTCGCACTGACGCACACCACCCCGCCGCACCCTTGCTCTGCGGCCCTCCCTCCTGGGTCATAAGCAGGGAGAAGAGGCTCTGTTTAGGATTTCCAATAAGCTGCTTATTCACCAACATTCCCTTACCAAAACTCACAAAAGAATAGTTAAAACTAACAGAAAAGCTAAGTCCCATTCAAAGCTAAGTCCCATTCAAAAATGAACAAGTATCTAAAAGTATTACTTAAATGTTCCCATTAGGAACATCCAGTGAGTGGTGCCAAGTCCTGGGTAGTGCCTGTGGATTCCAAAGTCAGAAAAGAACCCACCCAGTCAGGGACCTGCTGCTGGCTGCACCGTTGCTCCCCATTCCTCCCCTTCAAGACCAGACCAAAGATGGGCAAGTGCTCCCTGCCTGCTCCCCTTTCTGATACCGCAGGCACGGACATCTGCCCTTGTCTTTGTCCATTCTCGGAACAAAAGAAAGCTTCTGCCAAATCATAGAGACTAAATAGGGTTGGAGGCATTAATAGTTCCCAGAAACATTCTCAGAAATAGAGCATCTGGGCTGGTGGGTCCTGTCCTGCTGCTGACGCTACCTGGGCAGGAGCCAAGTGACAGGCAGGCAGAGAGCCTTCCAGCCCCCACCCCGGTGCAAGCCTCTCAGAAACCTTCACAGAGCCAACCACCGTCTCAGTGGCAAAACAGTTCCTCAACTGGGCAGAAATATGAAGCCCTTTCACATGCTTCTCACTCTGATTCTCCCTCTGTGAAGGACAAGACTAATGAAACTCCACCAGAGTAAGTGCCTTGGGATCACAAGGCCATCCAGGTGATAAATAACAAGACCCACAGATTGAACCTCGGCCTCCACCTCCATTCGAAGCTTTTCCAAGGTGGGGCCACGCACTGCAACACAGTGGGCCAATGCTGAGATGGCTGAGGGGGAGTCGGGCCAGGCAGAGGTGCTTAACAAAGACTAACACCTGACTGATAAAAACTCACTCCTTTCCATTCATACCCCTTATGCACAAACGCTTACAGGGCACAAGAAGCAAACCAGTAAGTTAGCTACAAATTAATGTCCAGGACTTTTGGCCAAGATGGAGGCATAGGTAGTACACTTTGTCTCCTCGTACAACCAAAAGGACAACGACAAATTTAAAAACAAAAAATAACCAGAACTGCTAGAAAATCGAACTGTACGGAAGTCCAACAACCAAGGAGCTAAAGAAGAAACATTCATCCAGACCAGTAGGAGGGGAGGACACTGGCAGCTGTGGCAGAGAGGACGCGTGGCAAGGTGCCAGCTGGTGGACCAGGCAGCCCCACATTTGCGTGCGGATAAACCAGAGGAACAGCTGGGGCGCAAGACAGACCACACAATCCAGGGTTCTAGTGTGGGAAAACATATCCTCAAAACCTCTGGCTATAAAAACCTGTGAGGGTTGTGGTGGCGGGAGAAACTCCCAGCCTCACAGGAGAGTCCGTTGGAGAGACCACAGGGTCCTAGAACGTAAACAAACCCACCCACCCAGGGAATCAACACTAGAAGGGCCCAATTTACTTGTGGGTAATGGGGTAAGTGACTAAAAAGCATTCTGAGAGCTGAGCAAGTGGCAATGTTCCCTCTCGTGCCCCTCCCTCACATACCACGCCACAACGCAGCTACCTGGGTAACCCCACCCTGACGAATACCTAAGGCTCCACCCCTTCCAATGTAACAGGTACACTGAGACAAAGAAATATGGCCCAAATGAAAGAACAGATCAATGCTCCAAACATATAACTAAGCCATGAACAGTAGCCTATCAGATACACAGTTCAAAACACTGGTGATCTGGATGTTCACTGAATTGATTGAGTATGGTTGCAAAGTGGAGGAAAAAGCAAAGACTATGCAAAGTGAAATGAAGAAAAATATACAGGGAACCAACAGTGAAGGGCAGGACTCAAATAGTCTCAAACTGAACCTAAAAAAAAAACTCGGACTCAAATCAATGACTGGGAACACAAGAAGAGATAAACATTCAACCAGAACAGAATGAAGAAATAAGAATTCAAAGAAATGAGGAAAGGCTTAGGAACCTCTGGGACAACTTTAAACGATCTAACATCCAAATTATAGGGGTCCAGAGGAGATGAGGAAGAGCAAGAAACTGAAAACTTATATGAAAAAATAATGGAGAATTTTCCCAATCTGGCCAAGGAAACAGATTTCCAGGAGATCCAGGAAGCTCAGAGTGCCAAAGAAGCTGGACCCAAGGAAGCACACATCAAGGCACATCATAATTATATTGCCCAAGATTAAAGCTAAGAAGAGAATCTTCAAAGCGGCAAGAGAAAATGAGACAGTTGCCTACAAAGGAGTTCCCGTAAGACTATCGGCTGATTTCTCTAAGGAAACCTTGCAGGCAAGAAGGGGCTGGCAAGAAGTATTCAAAGTCATGAAAGGCAAGGGCCTACATCCAAGAGTACTCTATCGAGCAAAGCTATCATTTAGAATGGAAGGCAGATAAAGTGCTTCCCAGATAAGGTAAAGTTAAAGGAGTCCATCATTACCAAGCCCTTATTATATGAAATGTCAAAGGGACTTATCTAAGAAAAAGAAGATCAAAAACTATGAACAGTAAAATGACAACAAACTCACAACTATCAACAACTGAACCTAAAAAACAAAAACTAAACAAGGAAACATCTAGAACAGGAACAGAATCATAGAAATGGAGATCAGAGGGGAGGGGGAAGAATGGGAGGAAAGTACAAGGAATAAGCAGCATAAATAGTAGGTACAAAATACGCAGGGGGAGGTTATGAATAGTATAGGAAATGGAGAAGCCAAAGAACTTAAATGTACAACCCATGGACGTGAACTAAGGGGCGGGGTAGGAGGTATGCTGGGGGTGAGTGGGTACAGGGTGGAGGGGAATAAAGGGGAGGAAAAAAATGGGACAACCATAATAGCATAATCAATAAAATATATATTAAAAAACAAATTAATGTCCAGACCACCAGCGGGTGTGAACACGTCTGCGCATCTCTCCTGGGCCTTCTCTGCTGAGCCCCCAGCCCGCCCACCACACCTCCCGGCCTGGAGGAGGATGACCAGCCAAGGGCATCATTCTCATTTGAAACACTCAGTTGCCCAATTAGTAAGTTAAATAATCTAATAAATAAGAACAGTAAGAAAACATAAGGTATCCCATAGAAGCAACAATCAGTAGCTCCCCAACAAGAATATTTCAAACAGCAGTTAATCAAAATGCAGGTCGGAAACAGCCTCAGGACGTGGAACCGCTTTCATACCTGGGCCGGGGTGTCTGCTTCATTAATTGGCTGCCCATCAAACCTGAATCTAATCTGTCTCATTGACAAGCCCTGAAAAGAAAAGGCAAAAATCATTAAATATTTCCAGGTAATGCGTGAACTAAAAAACATCAAATATTTTACACCAAAATACCAGGATTCTGAACATGCAGATTAGTGATCCAGTGGATTACAAACCTACTGATGGGCCTACAATCCATTCCCTGGGGTACCAGCACCTCAAGAAATCACTGTTCTAGCAACTTGGAGCCCCAGGCAGTTGCCCTCACTCGTCCCTCCACTCTAAGAGGCCAAGCGGGATTTCCGCTGCTGACACAACCACTCTCCTCATTTAAATATTCCCGGGAACAGGTCAGGTGACATGTGACAAGACACAGTATAAAATGGGAAGCAGTCCTGATGGCTGTGGCCTTGAGAAAGACAGAAGAGAGGGCCTTTTCCCTCCCAAAAGGAGCGCACACTGACTTTCTACATCCTGAGGGAATGATGACGTGGTCAGGGTGCGAAGACATTGCCTTTTTTTTTTTTCAATTTTATTTTTAGAGAGAAGGGAAGGGAGGAAAGAGAGGGAGAGAAACATCGAGGTGAGAAAAATCAACCAGCTGCCTCTCATACGCACCCCAACCAGCGACCATACCCGCAACCCAGACATGTGCCCTAATCGGGAACCGAACCGGCAACATTTCGCTTTGTGAAACGCCCAGCCGAGCCACACCAGTCAGGGCAAAGACATCGCCTTTTTAAAAGCAGCTCTGATTTTGCTTATACAAGAGAGACAGGATTAAAATGCGCATCTCTGCTGCTCCTGAAACCCTACCAAAAAGGCATAAATAAAAAAAGGCATAAACAACAGGATAAAAAATGGGAGGGGGATGAGACAACAGAAAAAGGGTGTCACCAATGGGCTGGAAGCTGGGAGCTCCAAGGCCCTGGATGCTGGACCCCAGGGTCCGGATGGGTGGAGGAAACAAGATGTAGCCCAGAGAGGCAAGGGGCAGGCACAGACAGTCTGGGAGGTGGAGATGCAGCAGGCAGCTGATTTTGCACAATGCCTGAAAGTTCCTATCGGACCCCCAGGTTAGGGCCACCAACCCCAAGAGGTCAGGTGCTGTGCTTTCTACAGGAAGAGGGAGCCCCCGGGCTTGTGTGGCCCAGTAAGGAGCAGTGGGCACACCCCAGGCCACCTCTGAGCTCGCTCCCTGATTCTACTACACTGCCAGAGCACGACAGGAGTGGGGAGGGGCGGAGGTGGACTTCTGGGAAACTTAGTGACCCTTCTGGAAGCCCCCTCACAAAACCACTGATCCTGGCAGGTCACACCCCTGCCATATGTGTGTGCAGTTTTCCATCAGCTTCAAGCTTGAAAATGAGTAGTTAACCATGGGTTAGAGGGCATTAAAGAAAGACTCAAATATGTGAGAGACCAAATCTAAGATGGAGAAACATGGAGGGCGAAGTAGGGGGTGGGACCCAAGGACACTTCATACAAAAGCATTCACACAGGCATATGCATGTGCATGTACACCTGAACACTCACATGCATGCACACACACACATGTATACAGGCATGCGCATGCACACACACAGAATTCTTAGGGAGTTAGCAAACAAAGTAAGTTGCTACTGGGTAAGGAGTCTCAAAGAACAAGAACTTTTAGAAATTGGAAATCATAGCAAAGTTGTCCACATAAAGTTGAGAAAAACTCCCAGAAAGGAAACCAACAGCAATAACAAAACCCAGTGCAAACACAGAAGTTGTCCCAGTTAAACATTCTAGAATAGTACATGCACAGTGGACAAGAATTCCAAAAAGAGGAGCAAAAACCAGAGAGGGCACACACTATAAAAGAACTAATAGAAGGTGCATTTCCTAAACTAAAAATACATTTCTAGACTGAAAGAGCCTGAGAAGTGAGTGATCAAATTACCTGCCTCAAAGCATGTGACAGCAAAACTCTTGAACATGGCAATGAGGTCCCAAAAATGCTCAGGGTAAAAACCAAGATATGCACAAAGGAGAAAGAATCAGAATGTCACTGAACTTTTCATACCAACATTGGAAGCCAGAAGAAAATGATAAAGTACCTCGAAAAAAAGGAAAATGCATTTCAACCTAGAAATTTGCATGCGGTCAAATATTCAAGCATGCAGGTTTATAAAGAGCAAGTCATTTTCAGACTGCAGTGCCTAGATGCAGCATCTTACGTACACTTTCTGAACAACAGACTGGAAGACATGCCCCATCAAAAAGGGCAGCAGAAGCCCTGGCTGGTGTGGCTCAGTGGCCCGAGTGCCAGCCTGCAAACCAAAGGGTTGCCAGTTCGATTCCTAGTCAGGGCACATGCCTAGGTTGCAGGCCAGGTCCCCAGGAGGGGGCGCGTGATGTTTTTTCAAACACACATTGATGTTTCCTTCTCTCTGTCTCTTTCTCCTCTCTAAAAATAAATAAATAGTATATTTTAAAAAAGAGAGAAACAAGGGCAGAAAATTAATCCAGAAGATGCAAAGGAAGGAATGAAAGATGTTTCTAGAATGACTCTGAGATGAGACAGAGCCATGCAGCTGGCCTCAAAAACCACCTGCCCACAGGTGGCAGGGGCAGGGTAGGATGGGAAGAGCAAGGACACGAAGAGGTGGTGGTGACCACCGATGCCTGCCTGCGTTGGGGACTGGGCAGCACAGGGGAGAATGTGGGGGTTGCATTAATAATGGGCACACGGCTACCACCAGACTTGGAAAAACAACTTGGATGAGAGACAGGCACGTAAGCAGAGCCCCAGGGTCCCGGAGCAATGGCCTGCAAGGACGACGGAAGGGGTGTACGGTGGCAGTGTCAGAGCCAGGTCCCCGCCTGCCCCAGGTGAAGATGGTCTCTAAAATCAGAACACAGGAAGAAGCAGAAGTAGAAGCATATTTACAAAAAAAGTAGAAGGAGTGACAAGGATGCCTCTGAGGAGCAGGGTTTGAGAAGAGGGAGGGCACCGAGGGAGGCGTAGCTTTTCTATGGTGTCTTTTACAGCAAAAATCCCAAGGCAAGAATGACCAAAGCCAGGGATGGAAATAGACTAAGCACTTGTATTTCCAAAGAATCCCGAGGAAGGACCCCTCCCATTAAAAGAGACAGGATCCCTGGGGGAGAGGCCAGGGCACCCACCACACCCACAGCAGTACACAGACAAAGCCACCCAGTGAGAAGACTCGAGTGGACGAGACAGGCCCCAGGACCCAAGGTGAGTCCCATGGAGCATGATGAGAGCAAAACAGATGCAGTGATGAGGCAAAAATGCATTTGGGCTATAAGTTCATGACACTAACAAAAATAATCACAACTAAAAATGCTCAATTTGGCTCTGGCTGGGTAGCTCAGTTGGTTAGAGCATTGTCCCAATATGCCAAGGTTGCAGGTTCAATCCCCAGTCAGGGCACATACAAGAATCAACTGATAAATGCATAAATAAATGGAAAAATGGAACAACAGATCAATGTTTCCTTCTCTCTCTCTCTCTCTCTCTCTCTCTCTCCAACCTTCCATCTCCCCTTTCCTCCCTCTCTCTCAAATCAATAAATAGAAAAAAATGTTTTAAATGTCCAATTTAACGAGTCAGTGTGGGAGGACGTGAGTGAGTCAGCTTGTTATTTTGAAAACTGGTAAACAAAGGGAAAGAATCACGCATTTTGTGGATTCTAAGTTGTGATGAGGAAGGGGATGAAAGGGAAACATGGGACATCTGTAATAGTATAAAAAATTTACAAAATAAAATAAAAATAAACTGTGGTGGGGCTGTTTCTCCAAAGCATGTTCTAGCTACTGAGTCAAGGGGCAATGGAACCGCACACAAATTCCCCATTCTGCAGCCTCCAAGGAAGGAAGCCGTACACACACTGATTCCCACAGCAGATACACCATCACATTCCGCCCCCAAGGGGAAGGGGCAGCATTTTGCCCTGCCTGCTGATGGGCACGACCTGGAGATTAAGTGGGCTGAAGAGAGATGACAAGTGTGAAACGTGCACCCTTGTGTGCACAGACACACACAGAGTGCACACATGCACACACAAATATGCACACATACATGCAAACACATCACACATGTATGAACACACACACACATGGGTACACACACTTCCAGGACAGTGGAGCCCTGAACAACCTGGACACACGGTGACAGCAGAGTCGCACCCAGCCCACAGGCGCACCTGCCGCTCACAGTAGGCCTTCATCAGCTTGCTCAGTGGGGTGTGTCTCTTGATCTTGAACTGGACCACAGAGCCATCCTGCCCGGCCACTTTCAGGTTGATGTGGTCGTTCTCTGTCTTCACTCCCTCCTGCAAAAGATATGACACTGGGTCTCAACACCACATCCCAAAATAACCATTTTAAATGGCAAGTCTATAGCTAATTGCTGGAGTTTTGTAAAGGGCAAGACTTTAGGTAATTGCTGGAAATTTTTTAAGCCATTAAAAGCAACCTAATTCTTAAAATTCTCCAGCTATCCAGAGTCGCTCATGTGATGGTTTTATTTTTAAACAGAATTTATTTTTAACTTCTACTTGTTAAGCATCCATATGTAAGGAAATGCAATGTAAATCTACAAGGTTCACAGATTAGGAATTCAAGGGAAAAAAATCTGTTCAATTTAGAAAAAACTGAGACAAGGTCCACATCTGCCTCAGATTATTCTATGAAGCCGAAGCGAAACCATGGTAGGCTTGTCCTTCTGGGGTGGCAGTTTGTGTGGCAGCTTCTGCCTTCTAGTTGCTGTAGGGGAACCCATGTAGGGGAACCAGCCCTCCCTTGTGTAGTAGGTCAGCCCCATTGGACTGGGGGGACACTCAAGAGCACTTGATCTTTCCAGAAGTCCTGATTTATAGCACTTGAGCAATCACACGTACAATGGATGCCACAAGTCTGTCCTGGAGCAGCTGCTCAGTCTGAGAGGCATTTCCTAAGAACCAGAGTGACACACCGTCAGACGTGCCAGTGAGGGTTCTGCAGGCACAGTGCCACCTCATTTATCTGTCACCGTTTTGGGAATAAAGGAGTTATCTTTGAACAAAATGATGAAACTGACCCGGGTCAATCTGAAAATAAAGATTTGGTGGAGCTCCAAGTGACTCTGTACTTTCTCCGGCTGACACCCATGTTCTCTTCCCCCATGTGTCCCTTGTCGGCGCACCCTCAGAACTGACCTCCACAACAGGGCTCAGGACCAGGGCTACTGGCTGGCTTTGTGGAGGAGTCATATCCACTCTCCTTCCCTCCCTGCGGGGAGGGCTGTGGCCTTTGCTCGCCTCTGTCCTAACAGAGAGGGGACTGGCGGGCAAGCGGCAGCATCCTGCACTCTGGCTTAAGACTGAGTGGCAGTACAGCTCTGTCTGGGGAACTCAGAGTGGCCCTAGGGGGCAAGACCGCAAGCAACGAGCCTAAAGGAGGTTGTCCTGGGGTGCTACCCACCCCACTGCAGCCTTGGGTGGCAGCTTGGCCAGGCACTACACACACGCCTCCCTCCCTACAACGTGGACTCCAGTGTGGGCAAACCCCGTGACGCAAGTGAGGGGTGCTCAGGGACCTGAGGCCAGGATGGGCTGGGGGATCCCCTCTAGGAGCACCCCTCATTCCCAGACATTAAAAATGCATCTGCTTTATTTTAAATAAAGGTTTTGTTTTAGATTAATTTCACATTTACAGAAAAACTGCACAGCAGACATAGGCAGCTCCTGTACATCTCTCGCCCATCTCCCAAGTATTAGCATCTCATTCCCACGGTACCTGTCACACCTAAGAAACCAACGCCGGCACGTCACTAGCAATGGGACTCCATGCTTTGGTGCTGTTTTACCAGTTTTTCCATTAATGTCCATTTTCTGTCCCAGGACCCAATTCAGGGTACCACACTGCACTTAGACATTTTTTTTTCAACTCTTTATTGTTAAAAAAACACACATAACATAAAATTTACCATTTTAACCATTTTTAGTGGCATTAAATATATTCATAATGTTGTGGGAGTATCACTGCCATCTATCTCCAGAACTCTTTTCATCTTGTAAAACTGAAGCTCTGTCCCCATTAAATACTAGCTCCCCTCCCCCAGCCCCTGGCATCTAACCTTCTACTTTCTGTCTCTGAATTTGATGACCCTAGGTCCATCATATAAGTGGAATCATACAGTACTTGCCTTTTTGTGACTAGCTTATTTAACTTAGCATAATATCTTCAAGGTTTATCAGTATCATAGTCTATGTCAGAATTTCTCCTTTTTTAAGGCTGAATAATATTCCACTGTATGGATGGACCACATTTTGTATGTCTACTCGTCCATCGATGGGCACTTGGGTTGCTTCCACATTTTAGCTATTGTGAATAATGCTGCAGTGAACATGAGTGTACAAATACCTCTTGAGACCCTGCTTTCAATTATTTTGACTATATACACAGAAGGGGGACTGCTGGGTCATATGGTAGTTCTATATTAATTTTTTGAGGAAGCTCCACATTGTTTTCCCAGCCGATGCACAATTTCACATTACAACCAATAGTGCACAAGTGTTCCAACTGCTCCGTGTTCTCACCAATACTTGTTGTTTTCTGGTTTGTTTGTTTTTATCGTAACCATCCCATTGGGTGTGAGGTCTTGAGTGCATTTCCCCAATGACTGATGATGTTAAGCATCTTTTCATGTTCTTATAGACCATTTGTGATTTTTTAAAATTTTTATTTACTGATTTTGGAGAAAACAAAGAGGAGAGAAAGAGACAGAAGCATCACTTTTTTGTTCCACTTATTTGTTTATTCACTGGCTGATCCTTGTATGTGCCCTGACCAGGGACTGAACCCACAACCTTGGCACATCAGGACAACGCTCTAACCAACTGAGCAACCAGGCCAGGGCTCTAACTGACCATTTGTATATCTTCTTTTGAGAAATGTCTACTCAAGTCCTTCACACATTTTTGAATGAGGCTGTTTTTCAGCTGTTGAGTTTTAGAAGTCCTCTCTATATTATAAATATTAATCATTTATTTATTTATTTATTTATTTGTGTGTGTGTGTGTATATATATATCATTTGCACATATCTTCTCCCCTTCTGTAGGTTGCCCTATTACTTTTGATAGTATCTTTTGAAGCACAAATTATTTTTAATTTTCATGAAGTCCAGTTTGTCTGTTTTTACTCTTGCTGCCTGTGCTTATGGAATCATATCCAAGAGATCATTGCTACATTCAATGCTGTGAAGCATTTGTCCTATTTTCTCCTAAGAGTTTTATTGTTTTAGGTCTTACATTTAGGTCCTTAATCCATTTTGAGTTAATTTTTACATGTGGCGTTAAGAAGGACCCAACTTCTTTTGCATGTGGAACAGAGGAAACTTTTGGTTTTATAATGAAAAATTATGGATGTGTTCAAACAAACAGATGCAGGAACCAAAACACAAAACAAACAGGAACACAGGGCAGCAGCTACAGACCAGGCAGAGAAAGGCAGCAGGACTTGGGCAGAGGGCCTCACCAGGGATGGTGAGGGAATAGCTCCCTTTAGGGGACTGGTGCAGCCAGGAAAGGCCCCAGGGACCTCTCTCCTCCAAAGGCGGGACACCAAGGATAATGGCTTGTACCAGACCCCTGGTGAATTCCTAATAAGCAAGGAGTAAAAGACCAGGGCGCAGCTCAGTGGATTGAGTGCCTGCCTGCAAAAGGGGGGATGGGGCGTGCAGGCCGTGTCCTCTGGTTCAATTCCTGTTCGGGGCACATGCCAGGGTTGCAGGCCAGGTTCTCCCCTCTTCCACCATCACGGGTGTTCTAGAGGAGACCAATCGATGTTTCTCTCACACATCAATGTTTCTCTCCCTCTCTGTCCCTTCCACTCTCTCTAAAAATAAATAAATACAATCTTTAAAAAACAAAGAAAAAAAAACACCCTATAAAACGACCACAATGCGGTGCGGTCACTTCCTCAGCTCAGCTATGCAGGGGCGCGCGAATCTGCTTTCACAGCTGACCCATAAGGTTTTCTTTCCGCCAGTATGATGGCTAGGAGGGGGCCTCCTCCCCCCACCCCCACGGCGGCAAGGAAGGCCCAGAGCAGAGAGGGCTCCTCAGCAGGCACCAAAAGCACTGCAAACCATTCGTTTTGTACACAGTTCAAACATGTTTATTCAACTGAAAGGGCCATGGAAGTTGACCACGTGGGAGAGTTTTAAGTTTAAACCCAGTGAAGGAATGAGCATTGTATATATTTCACTGTTAACTTCAGTTAAGAGGAAGCCACCCATAAAACAAAGAAAGGCATTTTCATTTGGCCAAATGACCAGGCTGGCGGGAGTGGTATAAAAGGCGAAGGCAACTCCAGCTGAATGTGGAGAGAGGAAGTTAACCTGGAGTGTTATCTTCACTTAAAGCAGGGCAGAGAGGGGGCTGGCTTCCACGCCCACTACGTGGAGGGCTGCAACCTGCAGTACCAGGCTGGCATCAGAGGAGGCTGTGTGCAAAGCTTTCAACTCTACAGCAGATCCGCCTCTTGGTCCAAAAAACAAACTCTGACAGTGCAGACTGAAAACTCTGGAAACCTGTTTTCACCGAGAGTAGTTAGTTAACACAACCACTGTGGACCTTCCCAAAAACTGACAGCCAACACTCTAGAGAAGGGATTTTCAACCAGCGTGTTACAAGGATTTTTAAAACATGAAATACCTGACTAGTCAGGGGCACTACATCTTGTCTCTCAGATTGTCAAATAAAAAAATGACAACAGCTAACACAACAGTAGCCGTCAGGTGTGAAAGAATCAAAATTATACCTATTTTTTGTCAGATAGGCAAAAAATATATTTTTGGGTATACCACAGAATTTTAGTAGTTAATGTGTGCCATGAGATGAAAAAGGTTGAAAATCGCTGTCCCTGGCGAGATAGTTCAGTTTGTTAGAACATCCTCCCCACATCCAAAGTTGCAGGTTCTACCCCCAGTCAGGGCACATACAAGAATCAACCAATAAATGCACAAATAAGTGGAAAAACAAATGGACGTCTCTCCCCCGCCCCTTCCTCTGTCTGTCTTCCTCTAAAATCAATAAATTTTAAAAAAGAAAGAAAAGGAAATCGCTGCCCTGGAGGAGCACACACCAGAGGGCGCCATGGGGAGCGCGGGGACAGCGATGGGGAGCGTAGGGACAGCGATGGAGAGAACGGGTGCGCACTGGGGGACAGCACTAGGAAAGTGGGCGCACACTGGAGGACAGCGATAAGGAGGGTGGACGCACACCAGCAGGATCTAGCGGCGAAATGGTGAGCCCACACCGGAGGGTGCGGCAGGAGAGGCTGTACGGTAAAAGTCGGCAGCGCTCCCAGACAGGATAGGTTAACACACAGCTCCTGATGGATCGCGGAGTAAAGGGGCTAGTGGGGAAGGGCCACTGCTACAGAGAAGGTCGCAGAGAGGGGCAGTCCCGGAGAAGGATCCTGGCGGAGGGCAGGAGAGAACGTTTCTCCATGAAAGGGGGTAGCAGGGTCCGAGGAGGAAGGGTGGGTTTCCTAACGGGAGCGGGTGGGGAGGACGTTGGTGGAAGAGATCCAGGCGGGAGAGGCGCGAGAGGCGCGAGACTCTTCGGAAGGGGGAGTTGGGATGTGACAGGGGGACCTGGAGATGGTATATCCCGGTGGGTAAGGGGCGGCAGTGGCTCGAGATCAGAGCTGGGAGGGTTCGAACGAGACGTGGCCCCGCGGTACCTCCGAGCTCCGAGCAGGCCCCGCCCCCGCCCTAGGGGCGGAACCTGATCTGAGTGGGCGCCAGGCCGGCGCAGTCTGGAAGCTGCTACCACCATCAGGCCGACATTGTGGAGCTAGGTGCGAGCAAGTGGGGCGGAGCCTGGGCAGGGGGTGTGCGGAGCCGCCTGGGACGTAGGGGCGGAGCCTGAGTGGAGGGCAGCCAGGGCCGTGGAGGCGGAGCCTGGGCGGAGGGCGGGGCGGAGCCTGGGTCGAGGGTGGGGCGGAGCCTGGGTCGAGGGCGGGGCAGGCAGGCTGGGGGAGGGGAGCCGAGCGGCGCGACTGCGGGGGGAGGGGCGGGAGGCCCAGGCGCGGGGAGACCAAGCCTACGCTGCTGTCCCCTGGCCGGGGAGGCAGTGATGAGCCACGGAGGGTGCCCAATGTGCGGCGGGGGCGGACAAGAGCGGCGCGAGAGGGGGTCGAACGAGTGATCGGCCCGCGCCCACCAGCACTTACCTTGGGCTTCTCCTCGGACATGGTTGCGAGCGGTGGCGGGGTGGCGTAGCGGCGGCGAGGAATTAAACAGCGCGGGAGCGGGCAAGTCACGCTCTCGGCCCGCCGCTCTCCCGCCGCAACTGCTCGCGGGGCCGCGCTTTGCCCCCCAAATCCCCGCGCACCGGTTGGCCGGCGCGAGGTCACGTGGGGGCGCGCGTGCACGACGCGCGCCCCCGGAGAGTCGAGCGCGCGCCCGGTTGGGCTGAGGTTCCCGGCGATTAGGAATGCGTCACGGGGCGGGGCCCCGCGCCATCCCAGCGCCCCAACACCCGGGGGCGCTCAGGGCACCGAGGGATGGGGGTGGGGCGCGCTGGGATTTTAGGGGCGCTCAGGGCACCCAAGGCGAGATCGCCCCGGGCTCGGAGGTGGGGGGGCGGGGCGTTGGAAGGGGAGTGGCGCACAAAGAGCTAGGCCGAGAGGCTGGGTCAGGTGCGGCTTCTGGGACGAGGACTGGTGCATTATCTTGGGGTCTGCCTGCCTCAGTGCCCTGATCCACAGACCTAGCCTCTCGCCTGCTTGAATTCAGCCATCCAAGTCCAGGCGCGCCCACTTATTTCCTGCGTGGAGAGTGCATTTCTCTAAGGAAAAAGGAAAGTAAGGCCGGTCTGGTGAACCACCTCCAGTTGTCACAGAGGACCTGGGTATGCCACAGTGCCTACTGGAAAAGGCGCCTTCACCCAGGTGCGAAATGTCAGTTCATGAGGAACTCCTGGGTGAACCAAGAAGGCAGCCAAAGCTGCTACTCGCCTCAGCTCCATCCACCAAGGACACAGGGTATTTGTTCACTTTGAAGCCCACAAAAGCTCAGGTCAGACCAGAGCTGCAACTGGACAGAGGCATAAACGAGGATAAGGGATATCGCATGTCTTTTCTCTGTCCGCCTCTCTCTCTGCGCTTAGCCAGGCTTTCCTCTGATGCTTCCTCTTCTCCTATTGTCTGGTCCCCATTTGAGGCTTCTGAACCTGGCAAGTGGATGTTGAGCACCTGGGGGAGATGAGGAGATGGGAGCAGGAGACCTTCTTATGACCATTTTGCTGACATTTCTGGAGTGCATCCCCTGCGTCAGATACTAGTACTCAACCTAATTCTCACAGCAACCCATTTCACAAGTGAGGAAATTGAGGGGCTCGGAGATTAAAATCCACACCCTGTGGTCTCCGAGTTTGTAAGCAGTATGACTGGGATTTGAAAGCAGGCAGTTGGTCAGTGAGATTGACCAATGTGCCCTACTGCCTCTCCAGGCAATTCCAGGGTTAGACCCCATCAAGATGGGCTACACTGAAAATGTGCTGGGGAATGGGGGCCACAGTTGGTATGTCTTTTCAGTACTTTGAGGTGCACATTCTTAGAAAGCCCTGGCTCTACCTGTGTTCCCTGTCTGTAATCCTAATGCCCTCGGATGAAATGGACCAGTGATGGCCAACATTTATCTGCCACTCAAAATGTGCCAAGCAGAGTACCACACTCATATCGTCCAACTCAGTCTCATAAAACTGAAGCAGGGACTCTTCATGATCCCTCTTTTGCCAATTGGGAAGCTAAGGTTTAGGGGGAAGGTGGACTGCATAGGACCAGACAGCTAAGAAAGGCAGGGTCTGGATTTGAACCTAACTGACGAAACCATTTCCATCCTAAGACCCAGACAAGTGGGTTCCACTTATTTCTGGTTAACGTTGTAAGCCATGGAACCAAGTTTTTATGGACTCTAATTTCATAAAACATCTTTGACTCTTAAAAATTCACTTTCCACTTAGGAGAGGGGAAGGGGGATCCCCAAAATCGGGCTGTCATTTCACAGGTTGATGAAGTCTCTCCATGAAAGGACTAGTCAGAGGCAACCTCCCATCTCAGCCAGGTCCAAGGGTTTGGTCCTTTCTATCCTGGAAGTTTGACAGTGACCCTCCTCTGCCAGAAGATCCCTAGGTAGAATGGCCAGCTCAAGCTGTGCTTCCAAAAGAAGGAAGCCTTCAGGAACCACCCCTTCCAAGACAGAGATGGACAATGGGAATCAAACCCAGATAGTTGGCTGTGGTGTGACTTTGGGTAGGTGTTCAGATCCACCAACAACTCTAAGACAGCCTCAATGATAAAATATAACATGTGTCACATGCACGTTAAACTATGATTGGTTATGAATGGAAGACACATCCTGGTTTCAGACTTAAAGTGTGAAAAACGTATAACTTAGAATTGATGAAGCACAGTGTCTAAATGTGTTAAAATAGGAAATTAATTAAACTATGGTCCACTCATATAATGAAAGGTTATGTCACTATTAAATGCATAGGGAAAAAAATGGCCCTGCTCATGTGGCTCAGCTGGTTGGAGCAATGTCCCATACACCAAAAGTTTGTGACTTGATTCCAGGTCAAGGAATATACCTAGGTTACAGCTTCAATCCCCAGTTGGGTGCATATGGGAAGCCACTTGATATTTCTCTCTCACATTGATGTTTCTCTCTCTCTGTCTCTAAGATCAATAAACATATTCTAGAGTGAAGATTTTTTTAAAAAAGAGTAGCCGATAACAAGAAAATATGTTTATATGATGTTAATAAGTTTTTTTAAAGCAAATTATAAAAACTATTGTGGTTTTGAACAACCAGAAAATCTATATGAAATATTTTGAAAATCTATTTGAAGACATTAGATAACTACCAAAACAGAGAAAACTTTCTCTGAGGGCCAAAGATCCCAGAAAGCGGGGAAGTGATTTTTCCCTTTTGAGACATTTGGTGATTAGTATGATGTGCTAGTAAGCTCGGGCTGCCATGAGAAAATACCACAGACTGAGCGGCTTAAACAACAGACACTTTTTCTCACAATGCTGGAGGCTGGAAGTCTGAGATCAAAGTACTGGCGGGGTTGATTTCAGATGAGGCCTCTCTCTTTGACTTATAGATGGCCACCATATCCTGTGTCCTTCCCTCTGTGTGCATGGAGAGAGGGAGAGAGAGAGTAGGAAAGAAAGGAAGGAGAGAAAGGGAGAGGGGGAAGGGAGAGACACATATAGTGCAGTCCATATATATATGCAATGAACAAGAAGTGAAGACATTGAGCACAGCTTTTGAGTATCACAGAATGGGGGAGACAATAACTGGGCGTGGCCAACGGCAAGATAAACTGGTAGGGTGGTGGCTCTAATAAATAACCTGGTCCTTGAGCTAAAGCACCGAGGCCTACAGCGAAGGAGTAGGGCTGAGGTGTAAATAGATCTGTCCTCACAAAGACTGAAAGCCCGGCATCCAGGCAGCTCACTCCCAAATGGGCTAAGCTGATTTGCTCTCCTTCCTATTACCAGCCTGAAGCAAAAGGGAATCTCTGGAGGAAAATAGCATCATCCAGGGTCTCAAATTAACAAAAATATTGTCATAAACAATATCCAGAATTGAATAAAAGTCTACAAAGAAAACCAAGGACAAATGACCCAAAACCAAGGGAAATATGAAGGTTACGGTTAACAAACAGATAAAGGCCAAGATAAAATTAAGTTATATAGTGTAATCTAATCAGCATGATGCCTGTTTCTATGCTGCTACTCACCAGACTGCCAGCGAACCAAACGATCCAACCCTTCCAATTTGGACTCACTCCTACCACATGTTTTGCCTTGGTTGGTTGATTTTTACTGGAATAACGCAAAACAGGGAAGAGGACTAGAATAACAACAAGGTAATGGAAGCCAGCCTGAACCAAGACAGTGCTGAGTCTGGCCTGCAGGAGGCCCCTAACCTGCATGCGAAATGACACACACACTGGCACCATGAGAGATCTCACTTGGACCATAAGGGAAGAAAAGGGATGGAGCCCCAGTTTGGCCCATTCCTGGAAAACTAATGCATATGCCTCCCCCTCATTACGTTACCCCCATGGTCTCCCCCAGACTTCTCTAGAATGAGAAATGGATCTGTGAGTTTAACTCCTGCTTCTCCATTCTCTGGCCATTGAATTAAAGCTTGTGCTGCTGGGAAAAAAGAAAACAAAAAAGGAAAAGAAAAGAAAAATAATATAAGAGGGAATGAAGCATGGGAATACAATAAAAAGTGGACATTTGTAGGTAAGTCTAAATTAAAACATCCTTCTCCCCATTCACCCATTCCTTCACCCAACCCATCCATCCATCCAACTACCCACCCATCCATTCACCCATCCACCCATTCATCCAACCATTTATCCACCTATCCATCTACTCATCTATTAATCCATTTCACAAGTGCTTGCTGAGCTCATAGCAAGTGCTGGTGCTGTCCTGGGCTTCAGCCCTTTTGTAAGAGGTCCTGCTGCTCAGGATCCTCCCTTCCTGTCTGCCCACCCTGTGGGCTTTAAGTCCCAGCATCAGATGGGGAGAGAGCCTTACAGTAAGGGACTGCATGGGACTTACAACCCCATGGCTGTGGATGTCAATTCCCTGTAATAGACCCAAGGAAGATGGATGGATGGATTGGTGCATGAATGGATAGATGGATGGGAGGTGGTGGTGGTGGGTGGGTGGGTGGATGGCTGGAAAGATAGCCAATTGGTTCCAGTTCTGTGGTTAAACCCTGCTACATTCGGTGGACAGAACAGGATAGTAGATCTGAGTTACAGAACAGATCATAGCATAGCATAGGTGACTAGGAAAAGTTCACACACCCAAAATTGAGGGAGGAGTGGAGTCAGGAGCTGCCTGGAAGCCTGGGAAGGTGCTCCAGGTGAGGGCCATGGCTTGTTCCAGGCACGAAGGAGCTGGTGTGCTGAAGGAGAGAGGGAGATGCAGATGGAGCAGAGCAAGTGGCCTTCTAGGCCATCATAGTGCTCGGGCCTTTTTCTAAGTGCAGTGGGAACTGTAGGGACAGGGGCGGGGGATGTTGAGTGGGTTCCCACAATCCTATTTAGAGGGGTCCTTCAGGCCAGGGAGGAGAGGCTACAGGGAGAATGGTGGGGCCAGCCATGCTCCAGGGGAGCAAGCAGAGGGGTGGCAGGGTGGGGATGCTGCAGTGCTCTGCAGACTATAGAGCTCGGGTGACAGGGTCTGGCTTGGGCTGGTCGCGGTGAGTCCTGTGTGACACTACAGGGTCAGGGAGAGGTCTGGTGGAGGAGCAGTGTGGTGCTGGAGTCCCCTGGGAGCCTTGGAGCCCTGGCCGCGGAGCAGAGGAGGGTGAGGGCGTGGCTGCCTGCAGGCCCCCCTCCCCGCCCTCACAGCCCTGGGCGTGCTGGCTCTGATTCTCCAACATACCACCATATGCTTTCAAAGCACAGCACGGAACTCCCTGTGTCTTCTGAAAAAGCCGCTGATTTTGGTGTCTGGACCCCTGGGATCAGTCGCCTGTCCCCACCCTGTGGTTGAGCATGCAGGCTTCTTGAAGGCTGGCCCTACCTCTCCCTGCCCTTCCCTCCTCCCTTGCTCAGTGTCTGCTTGGGGAGGGGCACACACTGGCAGCTTTCTTGGGAAATGGGCCCAGGTCTCCTGAGCAAGCCATCCAACTGCATGCTCCAACCCTGTGGTTTCCATTGCCAAGAACTCACCCTGGTGGGGTAAGGCTTCTGAGCAAGCTTGGGGGACAGAGGTGCCTCCTGCTTGGAGCCGGGTCCACCGCTCAGGTCCCAGGTGCGAATCACCCAGCCTCCTCCTGGGAGCCAGCTGGTGCCTCTATAGCAAGCAGGTTAACTATTCTTTATGCCTGCTTAACTATTCTTTATACCCGGCTAACTATTCTTTATGCCTGGTTAAATTTTTTTTTTTTATCCTCACCCAGGAACATTTTGTTTGCATTCCTTTTAGAGAGAGGAGGGGAGAGAGAGAAACATCAATGTGAGAGAGAAGCATCGACTTGTCCCTTCCTGCACGTACTGACCAGGGATCATATGCATCCAGACCAGCAGTCGCCTGCGCCCCCGCCTGGACCAGGGATCAAACTCGAAACCCAAGCATGTGCCCCAACTGGGAATCAGACCTGCAGCCTTTTGGTTATCGGACAGCGCACCAACCAACTGAACCACACTGGGCGGGGCCCTGGTTAACTACTTTTATGGCTGGTTAAATACTCTTGATACCACGTTAACTATTGATTATGCCTAGGTAACACTTCTTTGTACTGGATTAACCGCAGTTCATATTGACCAAGTTAACTATTTTTTTTACACCAAGGTAACGACTCTTCAGAGGAGGCTGCAGTCAGAGAAGCCGGTCTGGTGTTGCTCCTCGGCCGGGGCCCGGCACCTGAGCTGACACAGGGGCAGCACTGTCCCCGCTGCTGTCCTCTGCACATGAGTCCCTGAGACTGTTTGACTAACTGGAGGTGGCCATCTGTGATTTTGTAAAAATGTTAAATAAACAAAAAGAGCAACACTGATCATTAGGACAAAGTTGAACATCATGAGGCACCAAGAAAATGCCACACTTCACCCTCAGTCCGAGATACTCATCAACTTAACCAGGCCAAATGCAACAGCTTGTAAAGTAGTTGAGAGGAACAAACACATAAAAAACACAAAACATGAGGTTAAGCCCGAGAGGGCAGCGCTGGAGATGAGCATTAGTGACGACTGAGAATGTCTCGAGAAACGCCAGCCGGCAGCCAATGGGGCGACTTGGAGACGGACAGGGCTCACCCTGACCTAGCTGGCCAGGGGGTAGCAGAGGACAGGGACAGGGCTTACCACCAGCCCTCATCAAGAGCCGGCTGGTTGACAGTGTCCTCTTGGAAATGTCAGTAAAATTGCTGCCAGCACCCCTGCTCCCCTCGAAGTCACTGCAAACGCCCCATGGCAACTCCCGCTGTCAAAGAAACTTCCTTTTGTGAACTCAGTACTGCTACCCCTAAGCTTAGAGAACTGGAATTTGTAGAATTACTCAAGAATGTTACATTGACTGTATTTTGCAATTTATCTGTAGATACGCATTGTTCGTAGTATTCAGGCTTTAGAACAATGAGACTACGGATTAATTATGTTCTTTAGCTCTGAAGAGAAAACCCATCCAATCAAGTGAAGTCCCTGCTGAACTGGCGAGGTCAGCCTCTCTGCACAGCAGGGGCCCACACGGGCGTCTGTGACCGGCTTTCCCGAGGAAGTGGGGGTGCTGGCAGAATGGAATCCTCTCAAGGGGATGCAGTTCCCCGATGCCTACATATGCTCCCGACGTGGCCCTAGTGAGGCAGGCAGCTGCCCGGCCGGGAGGCGCTCCTGTCAATGGAATCGAGTGGAGGTGACAGTGTCACGTCCCCACTGGGGCTGCCCTGCTGTCCTCCTCACCTGCCAGCTGGAAGCACAGGACTTGGAGAGCCCAGGGACATCCGGTCTCAAGACCGCGGGGAGGAAAGCTGCCGCCCACTGGAAACGTCTTGGAGCTGAGTCGCCAAAAGGCTGCAGTCTGTCCGATTCAGCAGCCACAGTAGCACTTCCAGGTGGCTCACCAGCCACTTCTACCTGTGAAGGATGCATGTATGGATCCTTTCATTCACAAAGGCCGTTTCGGGGGCGGTGTCCCCAGCAGAACGCATGGCACCGGGAACAACGGGTAGCAGTGTAACTGCCCGCTGACCCCCTCCTAGCAACCCACCTGGGAAGTTGGTGCCTCCTGTGCCCTGTCAGGCTTGGCTGGGCACCTGTACCAGGAGACAGAGTAAGGTCTCCATTCCCCAAAGAGGTGACTGCTGCCAGGCCCCTAAGCTCCTCGGACACATGGCCAGAGGAAGCTCGGCAGTGGCAACCCTGACCCTGAGGTACGTAGGTTTCTGCTAAGTGTCAGGCCACAGCGAGTCTGCCTGGAACTCTGAGGACTCGTGGGCCATCTGCTGTGCCTCCTGGTAGAGCACAGGGAACGGCAACTGAATCAGCCACCGCCTAACCAGGGCATTGTCCCCAGGGCCTGGGACCTGCACACAGCACTGCAGGGAGCAGCCAGACCAGCAGGGGCGCTGTGGCGATGGAGCCTAGAATGGGGGTGGGAAGGGAGACTGGGGAGCCTCAGAATCACCCACGGTGGCTGGTCCAGGGCTTGTCCTGCCTCCCTCCTCATCTCATTCCTTAAGAGACGGTGACAGCCACCACCTTGCCGAAGTGCTGACGAGATGGAGTAGTTACCGACACTCTGGGCTCCCAGGACCGCTGTACCTGCTCTTCCCATCTCACGTGCAGCCGGCTGCTCCCTCAGCCCCTGTGGGACGAGTGCTCTCGACGGTGCCCGAGGCCAGCACCCGCCTGTGCCAAACACGCAGGCACACGTGCAGGGCCCGTGCTTCCGTCTGCTCAGAGAACTGACTTCCAGGCGAGGTTCTGGTTTGGGGCCACGTCCCTCCACTCATCGTGCAGCGTCACAGACCCCTTCAAGTGGGGCAGGGAGGGGGGGATTTGGCACATTCTACCAACATTTTACATAAGCACCACAGACACTTTGATTTGGAATTCTACTTCTGTGATCTGACCCCACATGCAATTCATGCACATTTCATGCCAAAGCAGCACGAATGGACTTGGACTGGGAACCGCAGTGCCTCTGAAAGGGGATGGAACAGGACCTGGAAAAGTGAGGCCGGTCAGCAAGTGGCAGCCACGTGCACAGATGCACAAGTAAAACGGAGCCCTATGACAGGACCAGCTCTCGAAGGACTCCGTGGACCAGTTGTCAGGGACTTGGCCAGTTTCTCCCCATCTGATTTTTCGTGTTTTTAACCTGGCGATGATTTGCCCTGAAGAGCAGACACTGCAACGGTGCACTTCACTCACCGTCCCTACCTTTCCAAGCAGAGGTCTCATCATCCAACTTCTTAAAACGAGCCCAAGGTTAATGTAAGCTTCCCACATAGGCTGGAGACGCTCTAAGACTCACCAGGCTCAAGGCCACTCTGTGACCACGGCTGGGGCAGAGACACAACCTCCAGCTTCCATATTCTAGATGTAGGCCTGTAACGTCCAACCAATCCAGAATGAAGCCGGAGTTGACTAGTCCGTGTACTTTCACCTGGAAGTGGGTAGAGTGCAGTGGGGCCCAGTGGGAGGGGCTCACAGTTCCCATGGGGACTGAGGAAGATCTCCAACCATTAATGCAGCACAGAGAAGCCCAGAGTCCCAATGATGATGTAATGGTAAAAACAGCTCCGCAGCAACTCAGAGTGGGACAGACTGCTCCCCACAAACTAGGCATTTAAGGCCCATAAAAGACAGGGATGGTGGATGCGTGTCTGTTGACATGAAGCTCAAAAGCAGAACTGCTTTCTCCTGGAGTTCTTTGTATCTGATTGCAGGTACGTAGAAGGGAAGCCTGGCTGGGGCAGGCCTGCACTGACTGGAGAGGTAACAGCTGGCCTGGCGAGGGGCTGAGGACAAGGCCAGGACAGTTTCGGGACATGTGATGGTCATGCCCTGTCGACCATGAGTATTAAAGCTGGGCGTGCTACACATTAGGCGATGGGTCCAGAAGTCTCTTTATCCAGACTCTAACTGCCCTCAGTGTCCCAGTACAGATAGTCCCCAACTTATGATGGCTCTTCGACTTACAATTTTTTGATTTTACAATGATACAAAAGCAATACAAATTCAGCAGAAACTGTAGCTTGGATTTGGAATTCTGGTCTTTTCCTGGGCGAGTATGTGGTGTGGGTCTCTCATGATGCTGGGCAGCGGGTGAGCCGCAGCTCCTGTCAGCCACACAATCATGTGGGTCAACCCCCAACACCCTGTAGTGCCTGTCTTTGCTGCCAGTTCTGCCCAACTGCAAGCTCTCGTGAGTGTGCTGAGCACGGTTAAGGTGGGCTTGGCCGTGCTCTAACGTTCTGTTGGTTAGGTGCATTGCATGCATGTTTGCCTTATACTTTCAACTGAGTGTGAGTTTATCAGGATGCATCCCCCTTGTTGGCTGAGGAGCATCTGTAATTGTGCTAATATAACACCACCGAGAAATGAAACACAAGGAACTCAAGAGTGTAGTCAGCAAAAGCATGTATTAAATCATTTACTGGAAAGTGGTTAAAAATTAAGGCACTCCAAACGTTACGGTTTCTTGAGGTTGTAATTTTCAGCTGCTTGTAGCACTATTTCAGAGAAAAGCATGTGGACTGGGATGGCCTTTCAGATACCCTGTGAGGGCTCTATGTCTCGCTATAGGATTAAAAACTACAGCCATTCTATTTAACAACCCCTAGCTCTGCTTTCAGCTCAGCCACCTACACTGAGTGATTTTACGTATATGCTAACTACTGTATTAAATACAGTTTGTTAATGTGGATTACAAAGTTTCTTCCGTGAATAAACAGCACGAAGTCAAAATGTTAAGGCCACTTTAAAACACTAAGGAATGCTTAAGTAATACTTTAAAATGCTCTGAAATGCCCAAGAAGTCAGAGAAATAAAGACTAAAGACTTTGTTCAAGATTAGTTTCCCAGTTTTGTGGGAACGTTATTCCCAGCACAGGTCTCCGCGGTCAGACTTGTCACGCTGTTCTGATCATCCCAATCTGCATGTGAACTTTATTTGATGGTAAGAGAGCAGCAGGAGTGTGAATAGGGAATGCATGGCTTCTTTTATGTGCTTGTTGGCCTACTTTCCCGAAGCTGAATGTTTTTCCAATTCAAAGCAATCCGGCACCAGGGAACATGTTCAGATTTAAGAAAGGCTGCTCCCACTGCCACGTCATTGTCTGCTGCTGTCCCTGCCATGCGCTCAGCCTACTACCGAAGCCATGTCTCTTGATCGGAAAGAAACGGAACTGCCATATATGGTGCCATAGGGCACCTGGAGCCACCAATGACTTTATGAGAAGCCACTTCTGAGGGAAAGTCTCATGACATGCCTGAGCCACAGGAGTGTGGCTCAGAGCCAGAGTCACCTTAGAAGCAGGAAAGTCACCGGTGTCTCTGTGTAGTGTGTGGAGATTCCCTCAGCTGGCCCCGGACACCCCACTCCCCATTGCGGAGCCCCACAGAGGGGCTGCCCAGGGCACAGTGCCTTCCTTCTCGGGGCTGGCACAAGGTCCAACAGCAGGAAGAGCCTCAGCCTGTGAGAGCTCCTCACAGGGCATGTGACTGCACGCGAGACCCACAGCTGCTGTCACAGGGCTTAGAAGGATGAGCAGGGCAGTTGACAGCACTCCCGAGTCCATGCTGGTGCGCGGTAGCACCCATCTACTGCCTTGGGAAGGTTGTTTCAAAACCCCATTTACAATTCAGGTTTTCACGGGATAACAATCTTCATGTTCTAGCAAAGGTACAAATTTAAAAATGATACAATAAGTGGTCTGAACATTGACAGTGAAATCTTTTAGATAGGTTATTATTTTTAAAAAGACTTTAAATGAGTTTAGTCCTCAAAGCTTTTCACCACAACTGCAGTCAGGAAGTGGGGCCACTGACACTGCAGAGGGCCTGGACACAGAAAGCCACCAGAACCGACAACGCGGGCTTCGGCGCACCCACCCCTGTGGCTCTAGGGCAAAAGGGCGGGGGACTGGTCGATCCTCCCACGTCACAAGTGAAGACAACTTTCCCTGGTCGCTGTGTGAAGCCTGTTAGTGGGTGGGCAGGGAGGAGACCCCCACTGCTGCAGCATGAGGGCGGCGTTAGTGTTGCGGTCAGTCTGCAGTCAGCTGACAAACCAGGACGTGAAATGCGCACAATACCTCCTCAAATTAACAGTGAAAACAAAAGCAACCTCCTTCCCTCCATCGGCTTAGGATCTCGAGTGACTAAATACAGAAAGAGAAAAGGGTATAGAAGCTCACAGGACAAGCACAGGACTGCCGTCGGGGCAGCCGCACCATGCTTCATCAGGGTCGGGAGGCAGGAAGGAGGCAGCGGTCGGCAGACTGCGGTCCCCAGGAGTGGCTTTGGGACTGCTTGACACGGCAGGAAGTGTGGTTTAGTTGTTTTCAAATCTGGCATATGGGTTTTCTTCTTTAAACAAACCTGAAAACAAAATGGACTTGGTTACACCCAGCCAACAGGAAATGAAATTCAGGAAAGCAATACAATTAAGTTTTATATGAAGACTTCCTAAGGCCAATAGGAAAATGGGCGGCCTAAGCAGGTTCAAATACTATGCTAAACCTCTTTTAAATGTCAAAGCACAGTGACCTTTAAAATTGAAATAAAATGTACCAAAAACAGTAATTTTAAGAAAAACAGATCCCAAGATATAAAAATTTATTTGCCGATCCTCTCAAAGTTAAGAAATTTAAAGCCAGGAAAGAGAAAGAAAAGAGATTGAATTAAAAAAAAAAAAAAAAAGACATTTAAAGCTGGTATTCCCATAGTGGTTGACTAATTTTATACGGGGGTGGGGGGGGTGGGGAAAACCCCTTACTTTAAATGTTGTTATACATGTTGATTAACTTTTAAAATTAAGGCTACAGCCTTGGCTGGTGTGGATCAGTGGACTGAGCGCCAGCCTGTCAACTAAGTGGTCAGTGGTTCGAGTCCTGGTCAGGGCACATGCCTGGGTTGCAGGTGGGGCACTCAAAAGGCAACCACATATTGATATTTTTCTCCCTCCCTCACCTCTCTCTCTAAAAATAAATAAATAAAATCTTTAAAAAAATGGGGGAGTCCTAAAAAAAAAAACCTAATAAGGCCATCATCCATTAGCTGTCAAGCACTATGACATAACTGTAGCAAAATGTGTATTTAACCATAAAAATAGACCTACAGTGCTAAATACCTAGACTAGGAGTTTTCTTTCCGCATGTGGACTCTCCTCCCCTCTCTCATTAACAATCTGTATTGCACACCAAAATTAACCGGAGCCACTGCAGTACACTTGCTTACTGCAGGGTTTTCGTAGGGTGGGGAGCAGATGAGAAGCAGGGGAAAGAGGCGGGGGATGCAACAAGGGTGTTTGAGTCAGAGGAGGATGGGAGACTCAGGCCTTGCATAGGAAGCGGACAGATTCGGTAAAGAACTATCGTATGTCAAATGCCAAGTACAAGCGGTCTCATTAAGGACGTGTTGCAAAAAGGAAACAGCTCCCAGCTTGATTTCTAGTTCAGAGGGTAAATAGAGGAGAATTGTTCTGTGATGTGGAAATCAAGCGCCTTCTAAGACCAAGACCAGGGTTTTGCCTGCATTGGTGTTTTGTGTGTTGACTGAACCGAGGGCACTCACGTGCCACCTCCCCTCGCCACTGGGAACCCCTGGGCCTTATTCCAGGTAGGAGGCTTTCCAAATTCAAGGACATTCAAAGGACTTCATACAAACTGGCGTATGAGTTAATTTCATCAGCACAATTAAAGGCCAAATTAATCATGGAAACGGCAGAAACATAGTGAACCAGTTCACCGTTACGGAAGTGGCACCTCCAGTGGCAGCCCTGAGCCCTGGCCCTGGGCCCACCAGGCCCTGCCACACCAAGACCAGGGGCACCACAAAGTGCAAGGTTTCAACACCATTGCACTTGGCCATAGAAGAAAGCGCTTTGCTGTGTGCACATGCACACACTCACCATGTCTTTTATTTATGTTAATGTTAATCGGATGCCTGAAAACGCCCTTCAGGGCCCTCGCTTCTGTGGAATACCAAGTTGCCCCCAACCATGGAGTGTACACTACCGCTCGGCCCACAGGCAGGTACTGGCGGAATGGGCAACGCACTGGGGCCACGGGACAAGGGAAGAGCGCCCACACAGGAGCTCATCACCGCCTGCGCCGGGACAAGGCCCGACACCGGGGTTCACACTGTGGGCAGGGAGAGCACGGCGGCCGGCGGCAAAGAGGGTGGTGGCCCTGACCTCACAGAACTCCGAAGGCCTCTGAAGCAGCACCCAGGAGGCCAAGGCGTGCGAAAGCACAAGATAAGGCTCTATTAGCCGCTCTATCAGCCGTCGGACGGCTTGTCTCAATCAGAGGAGACCCAGCAGCAAGAGGTGGGGCAGCAGCCTCGTGCCTGGAACCAACACTTAGAGGCCACCAGGGTCAACCCCAGCCTGACGCTGAGCCAGGCACAGCACCCACTTGTGTCCTTCAGGAGAGGCCCACACAGACAGTGAGAAGGACGTCCAGCCAGTGGGCCACCTGGATCCGCGTGCACAGCCCAGAGTACCGGCAGCCCGTCAGGGAACTGAGCCTTCAGGATTTACTACTTTCGTGAGTAGGGCTCTAAACTCCCACTAAAATGGTGTTTCCTTATACGCACTGAGAACTTCAGTCAGAGAACTGTTTTTTTTTTTTAATCATCACCCAAGGACACTTTTTCATTGCTTTTAGAGAGAGGAAGGGAGAGAGAGAAACATCGATTGGTTGCCTCCTGTATGCGCCCAGACCAGGGATAGTAAAAGCCTGGACCAGGAAACGAACCCACAACCCAGGTATGTGCCCTCACTGTGAATCGAACCCACAACATTTCAGTTATGAGACAACATTCCAACCAACTGAGCTGCACCTGCTAGAGCAGTCAGAGATTTTGACAGGTTCTTGATCAGATTTAGGATTTAGCACAGCTGCCTGGTCCACTTAACAGGATTCCCAGGCCACAAGGTCAAGGGAGGTACAGTGGCTCAGGGCTTGAGGCCCCATGGCTATCATCAGTGAGGGCCTTGCCTCAGGATAGGCCAAGCAAGTCCATGTCTATCATTTCCAACAATGCTGAGCGATCACTGAGCAGGAGCTTAGTGCGCGTGTTGTCCATGGATGTGAACCAACTAAACACATTAGGAACTAAATGCTAAATGTTATCAAGAAAAACGTCCCAGACCCTCCCCCTAAATCTCTCCAAACAAAACCAAACCAGAACAATGTACCCAGGAAACAGGAAAAGGATGGCACGGCCCCAGTTTTGGCTGACGCCTTAAAGAGGGAATGCAGCTCAACATGCAGAGGTTGGGGTGAACCCAGGGTGGAGGGAATACGCGGAGCAGACCAGACTCGCCCCCTGCAGACCTGCAAGCACTCCCCACATAAGGCAAACAAGATGACAGAACCGGAAAGGGGCTACGGCAGACCCGAGACAGCTCACGCTTGATCCTCCAACAAGTACTCCTGAAGAAGTGTGGCTGAGAAAAAAGTATTCCAAGGCTTCATCTTTTAAGACATTGAGTGGAATTAGTTCACAACAGCACCACTTGGAATAGCCTTCTCCCAGGAGAGACAGCTTTTTTTAAAAAAAAAAAAATGTTTACTTATTGATTTAAGAGAGGAAGAGGGAGCAAGGGACACATTGATTTGTTGTCCCACTTCCTTATGCACTCATTGGTTGATTCTTCTATGTGCCCTGACCAGGGACTTGAACCCGCAGCCTTGGTGTTATCACACTACCGAGGGTGACACTCTAACCAACTGAACTAGCTGGCCAGGGCGAGACGTCTTTCTGTTTCCATAATAAACCCACAGCCCGAACCCTACAGTTAGACCTCATGGGACATCAACAATGAGCAAGGTAATTTAGCATCAATTTCTCACCAATTGAAATAGGGATCCAGTTGATTCTTACCGTATTTTTTCCGGATTTCATCGTGCCTTGACTTCATCTCTGCTCTTCTAAAAAACAAAAAACACCACCTTGTTTGGCATTCAAATACAATGTGATTTTAAAAGAAGCACCTTTCACTTCCCTCAGCAGAGAAGCCGTGGCTTGTTCTTGTTTCCCAGAATGAGCAGTGTCGGGGTGAGCCTGGCCCTCGGGTGACACTCCCGCTGGGACGGGCCAGGTGCTGTGGAGCACAGCCTTCTGAGACTGCTCCAATATCGTGTCATTTAATTCTTCATTTCAATAAATGCAGCTCAAATGTCCGATACTGGTTTTTTAAAATTCTTTTCTCATATAAAGGAAATGTAGTGATCGGTAAAAACCTTATGCTAGGTTCTAAAGATGGTTCCGAACATGCCACCACTGGTTTTTATCTGGGGCACGTGACTTCAAGGTGATGACATGGAAACCTGTCCAGCCTTAAGCCTCACCGGCTGCCATCCTGACAAGTCAGGACCGCCCCCAGCCACCACTGTGTCCCTTATTAGATAGAGACAGTGACCAAGGGCCATCCTACGGCTGCATCATACACCCACCAAAATGCTTCGTAACCAGCCAAGTGCTGTTGATCAGCACTAGCGGCACAAGACCCAGTTCAACCACAGGCAGACAAGAGACCCAGTCAAATGCTTTTCTCCCTCTCTGAGCCTCGGTTTGCTCATAAATGAAGGCTGGATCAACTGCCTTCCAAGGCTCCTGCCACTGCAACGTCGAGAACCCATGGCCAAGATGTAATAGGTAGGTTCTGCCACCCAGCTACCTCTAGCTGCAACCCTGATGTCACCGACTGGAGGAAACAGACAAGGCAGTGACAGGCCTAAGACAAGAAGGGCCATGGTCCCTGGCTAGGTCCCCGTATAAACAGCTTCTCATCTTTTATACTGCAACCTAGAAAGACCCACAGACTCTCACACATTCGTAGTTTTTAAAAATGGAGAAGACTCGTGACTTATTAATGTCACTTTCCCGATCTGAGTCCCCTGGAACGGAACTTCTGCCAGCGGGAATGAGCCTGTGGCCTCACCTTTCCTCCTGCCGTATCCTCCTCTCTTCTTGCTCCCTCATGGCCTTCTCTTCGCTTTTGTCTGGCTTCCGGCTCCTCTTGTTCCTGCAGCAGCAGTAGCAGCAGCACATGGCGACCGCCAGGAGGATGAGGCCCCCGACCACTGACATGGTGATAATCAACGCCTCAAAGTTCACTGCAAGCGCAAAAGGGGCCAATTCAGAGCTGCCTGCGGCAGGACACCCGGCTGGGAAGCAGCACGCCCCCGGGCAGCGAGCCAGGAGAGCGAGGCCCACACCTGCAGGGCAGGCCTCTCCCACCACCAGATACCGAAAAGCTGTTTCAAGCCCAAGGAAAGTGAACAAAACCAGAAAGAGAATACTCAGGTGTGTATCTGGACTCTCCTAAACCATTTTAAGTCTTAACTTCGTGGAACTCACAGAAAGAAAATTTAAGCCTGATACAGTTTATTTGATTATTTAAGTCAAAGTCAAGAGCATTACATTTATTTCTCAGAGAAAGTAACTCCTGACTACAGCAAGCAGAGGGGACAGGTGATCTCCCCCAGGGGTTTGAAAACAGCTGCCTAACCAGCGTCAAATGGGTTTATAACTTCCTGTCCAGACAAAACTTCTGAGACAAAGACAAACTTATTACAAGTTCTACAATCTTTACAACTTCTCTTAAGGATTTATCAGTAAAACCAGTCACTATTTTTCTATTCCATCTGAACTCTTATATCAGTACTTCTTCTGTGAATGTGTTTTTGAATTGTGTGGTTAACACAGCCATTGAAGAGGCTTGAAAAACTTGGCCAACAGTGGGTTCCATGCTACGCATACCCCGCAGCAGCTCCATCTGTTTCCTGAAAATGAGGTTAAATTACCCATCACACAGAGCCGATATCTAATCTCACTGGTTCCTTGGTCGTGGTTGGGGTTGGGCTTGGTAGGTGAGTGTCTGCCTTGGTGACAGGGAGGCAAGCGCTCTGTGCCCCCTCGAACACCCTGCTGCGTGCCTGCATGGGCCCATGACAACGTGCAGATTGGGTGGCAGCAGAACAGCACTCTCTCGTGGTTTACTCAACCATTTTACAGTCAGCAATAGGTGTGACAACTGGTCAAATCCTTCTGAGCTACAATCATGAGTTTTTCCCTTCTCTGACCTGCTCTGGAAGCACTAGCGCTGCAAGAAATAGTAGTAATAGGTATGATTAGAAAGGAGACCTTCATTAGCAGATGGTGTCATTTTGGACTCAAGAACTCTAGAACAATCAACTTTAAAAACCAAAGAGATCGCTGGCTCTAAGATACACCTACCCCCCAAAAGAGCTTTCCTGATCAGCAGCTAAAACCAGTTATAAAATAAAATCAGACATCCCTCAATAATAGGAAGCAAACCTTTGGGCTCCTTTCCCTGTTAACCGTGAACAGCAAGTATATGACACTCCACTAAAGGGAGTAAGGGATGACCTGGGCGAGGGACACCTCCCTTCTGAGCAAAGGTTCGAACTGACAAAGACTTCCGTTTTCTCCAAGCAACATATATTTTTATGGTCATTACAATTAAAAGCCCAGAAGTGTCAGACTACAAAGCACCCGTGGGGTAAGGCCTACCACCAGCATTCAGAGTGCCCCGACAGCCGGTGAGAACAGGGGGGGCCTCAAGCGCGCCAAAGACAAGTCCCCCTGCAGGCCCGGCCCCAGGCCAAACAACCGTCCTTACTGTGGGAACCAGGTGCAGTTCCTGCTTACACCTGAGTGGCAGGTGTCATTTCCTGGTCAGCCCTCGGAATTGCTCAAGCTGTGCCTTCAGTGGGACTGGGCACCACGCCCTGTTGTTACTGCAAAGCCTCCTCCCACAGCCTCTAGCTCATTCCCATGCCCCCTCCCTCCCCCAGGGCTGGGACTATGTGGGGTGAATAAACAGCTGTGGATCTCAGCTGTCCAGGGTCAGGTGTCGTGTTTGAACATCCCTGCAAGCCCAAGGGAAGGACCGCCATTTCGCTAGAGAATGATCAAAACTGCACACCACCTGGAAAGGAGCTCAACAGCATTAGCCTTCAGAGAAACGCACATTAAAACCACAGTGAGACACCACTCACACCCACCAGATGGACTACAAGGAAGATGACTGAGTGCCCGAGTGCTGGCAGGGATGCAGAACGACCAGAAGTCCCACATTGTTTAGAGGAGCATAAGCAAGTACACCACTCTGGAAAAATGCTTGCAGCCCTGCTATAGCCGAACACAGTGCACGTGGCGAGGCAGCAACACCAAGTCCACACAAATGCCGTGTGCGGGGAGTGCAGGCCCCCCTCCAACGCAAGGCTGCCTGCAGCAGCACTGTGGAGGGGCCCAAACGTCCATCAGTGGCTGGATGGGGAACACCTATGAACACCACCCAGCGTCAGGGACAAACTGGCACACACAACACACACGGAAGGGCCTCAGACAGACACACCACCAAAGGCAGAGAAGGTAGCAAAGGGTTTCCTTTACGCGAAGGGCAGGGACAGGCAGCATAACCGACCATGACAGCGTGTCAGTCCAGTAGTCACCCATGGGGTCCTGACAGCAACTGCTGTGAGAGCTGGAAATGGTCTGTGTATTTTCCTGAGTGGGGAATCACCTGTGTACTTACATGTGTTCAGTAAAAATTCACTGAACAGATATATGTGTGTATACGTGTGTGTTTTACGTTGCCGTCTGTAGTCTAGGGGGAGGGGGGACTTAACACGTTTGCACCCCTTAGAAGTTAGCTTGCAGCTTAAACAGTGCATGTTCAACATGCCCAGGGACCCCTGGTCCAGGAGTGGTCTTTGTGACAATGGACAAGAACAGAGGCCAAGCAGAAGACAGTCAACAATATGGAAGCAGAGGGCAGTGAGGCCCAGTGAAACCTTTCTGGTATGAGGACAGCAAAGAGAATGGCCAGCTCGGTGGATCTGATGGGTGTGATGTGGGCACAGGCACACACATGTGTATGCCCACCCAGAAGGCACCCCATGCGCGCGCACACGCGCGCACACGCACACACACACACACACACAATCCTGGATTCCCTGGGGTCTCAACACCACAGGTATTTCTGATAGAGGCTGATGGATTCTAAGATGCAAATCAATTAGAAAACAGACAGACAAACGAGGAATAAGCTGTGGATACACAAAGTGAAGCATCGAAGTGCCCCAAGAAAACAACGGTTCCTTTAGGCAGCGTAAGAAGGCAGCCCTGTATGACCCCAAATCTGAAGCCATAAAAGAAAGGATTAATAAACCCAACCACATAAAAATGAGTTCCATATAGCAACACACATCACAAATCAATTTAAAAGGAAAACTAGAGAACAATTTGAATCTCACAAGGGCCGATTTCCGATGAAAGAATGCCAACAGCAACCACACGCAGACAAAAGGGACACAGGAGCAAAGGTAAGGAACCCATGCTGAGCAGGATTCCTTGCTTGGAAAGTCGAAGCCCCTACAGGAGCTGCAGCTGCCCCTGTGGCGCGTGAGCACCACCAAGACATAAGCCACCCAAAAAGCAGCTCTTCATTCACCCCCCGACCCAAGGGGTGGAGACCCAGTGCAGAGCCAAGGCTGCGGCCTGAAGGCAGGCCTCCGGATCCCCAAGGACTCCATGGCAGCTTTGTGAGACACTCTGAGCTCTCACTGGCTTTCCAATTCCCCACTGGGAGCATCAAAGAACTACTGCGGTTGCGTTCTCTGGCCGCTATGTTATAAGCACAACTAGAATTTTCAAACCTGCACGGATTTTCCAAGAAGCCAATGAAAGTGACCACTTACCCCAGCAAACGCCCCAGCGTGCAGAACTCAGCTTACAAAGAGAAGCGGGTGGCAAGATTTTTGACACTGGGTAGTCCAAGCACGTGTTGTCAGTGTTGCACCAGAGACACTAAGAGAGATAAACATTAGATGTTAAAAATTCAACACATACACCAAAGAACCAGACTGTCCAGGACTTGATCTCCTAAACCACCAACCACACCCCAGGCTGCTTGCCTTTGGGGGATGACCATGGCCTTGGCCCCCACCCCAACACAGCGGCTCAACCGCCCACCAAGAACCACGTTACTGAAACCTCTCCCATTAGCCACCCTCAATGGCCACACAGCCTCTGTGTTGGTCCTGAAAGATGCCAGGCAGCTCTCTGCCCAGGGCCTTTGCATGGCCTGCTCCTGCCTAGAATATCCCTCCCAAGAGACATGTAGCTCCCTAACCTCCTCCATGGGGCCTACCCTGAGTGACCTACTTAAAACTTCCCCCACCTCTCCCCCTCACCTCCTTCCCAGCTGTGGTGTCGCCTCCTCATACATTCAGGCTGCCCATCACTGGGCCCGTCTGCAGGAGCTCACTAAGTATTCGTTAGTGATCTTCTGTGACCACAGTCACCACTCTGCTAAGATCCTACCTCTGACCTCTACAAGCGCAGCAGGTATTACTTCACCCTCTTAAGGAGAGGGCAACTGAGGCTCAAAGGCACCTGTCATAACCTCAGAGCAGGAACGTCTCGGATGCTCCTGGGCCCCTAACAGTGTCGGGGAGAGGTGGTCTAGGGCAGGGGCAGAGCCTTCGCCCCAGTGTGTCGGGGAGCCTGTGGCCACCAGCAACAAGGGAAGTGTGCCTTGGCTTGTTATTTTAGATTTTAAAGGGAAGTTTTATAGAGTTTTTTTCCTTTGAGTTTTTAATAGGACAGAAAGTCATGGCACTTTTTTTTTGTCTCAGGTTAGGATGAACAGCAATTAAAAAAATATTAAAACAAAGCCTGGGCTTCCCCAGGCCTCTTTACATAATACCCACTTTAGTATGATGTTTAAAATGGTTGAGCATACGTAATAAACAGCAGGAAAACCCTTATTCTGGCTGCCTGAGAATACCTTGCATTTTAGTGTTCTATTCTGGCTTAACAATTTTTGGTAAATCTTCCATTTTCAAATAGTTTAAGTGTTACATGTCTGATTTTCCATGTTTACATGATAGTTTTTAATAATTTTAGTTTTGTATTACAGTTGACATGCATTATCATATTAGTTTCAGGTATACACCACAGTGATTAGACATTACATAACTGAGCGACCACGCCGATAAATCTTGTACCCATCTGACACTATACATACTTATTAGAATACTGACTCCATTCCCTGTGCTGTACTTTACATTCCCATAACTATTCTCTAACTACCAGTTTGTACTTAGTAATAATCCTCCTCGTTTTCACCCATCCCTCCAATCCGCCTCCCATCTGGCAACCACTAAAATGTTCTCGGTGTGTGTCTCTGTCCTGCTTGTTCAGTTTGGTTTTTAGACTCAACTTTTGATAGAAATTGTATTTACTGACATTTTGTTATTCATATTTGATCTTTTTTTCCCCCTTCTTTTCTTAAAGAAGATCCTTTAACATTTCATATTATACTCATGTGGTGATGGGCTCCTTTAGCTTTTTCTTGCCTGGGAAGCTCTTTATCTGTCCTTTGTTTCTTGACAATAGCTTTGCTGGGTAGGGGAATCTTGGTTGTAGGTCTTTGCTTTTCATCACTTGGAATATTTCTTGCCACTCCCTTCTGGTCTGCAACTTTTCTGTTGAGAAATCTGCTGACAGTCTTATGGGCACTCCCTTGTAGATTTCTAACTATTTTTCTGTTGTTGCTTTTAAGGTTCTCTTTGTCTTTAACCTTTGGCATTTTAACTATGAGTGTCTTGGTGGGGGCCTCTTTGGGTTCATCTTGTTTGGGACTCTGTGCTTCCTGGACTTGTATGTCTATTTCCTTCACCAAGTTAAGGAAGTTTTCTGTCATTTTCTCAAATAGGTTTTCAATTTCTTGCTCGCTCTCTCCTCCTTCCAGCACCCCATGATACAAATGTTGGTATGCCTGAAGTTGTCCCAGAGGCTCCTTAAACTATTCTCATTTTTGGGGATTCGTTTCTTTTTGCTGTTCTCCTTGGGTGTTTTCTGCTTCCTTATCTTCCAAATTGCTGATTTGATCCTCTGCTTCATTTTTCCCTTTCCCTTTAATGTGTTCTTCATTTCAGTTACTGTCTTCTTTATTTCTGATTGGTTCTTTTTTATGTTTTCTATTTCATTTTTGTTTCCTGTATCTATGTTGAATTTCTCACTAAGTTCTACTCTGCCTGTAAGTTCACTGAGCATCCCTATAACCAGTGTTTAGAACTCTGCATCTGGTAGACTGCTTGCCTCCATTTTGTTTAGTTCTTTTTCTGACGTTTTGTTCTGTTCTTTCATTTGGGACACGCTTCTTTATCTGGAAGCAGCTTGGGTAGGCCTGAAATTTGGGTGAGCCGGAGCCTCAGGGAACCACCAGAGCAAGGAAACAGTGTGAACCAGGTTGATAGTCTCAAATGTGGCACCAACCTGCCAGTTCTGTGATGGGGGAGGGCTCATGAAAGGAACAATGATCTCTGCCAGCATTTCTGTCTGGGAGAAAGCTGTGCCCCCAGCTCTGGTCCTGATACTGGACTCCGTGTATGTCTCTGGTGCATTCTGAGCTGCTGCCCCTGTAATGGAGCTCAGAGGAAGTGAGTACAAGTCCGTGCACAGGCCCTTTAGGAGGAACTACCTGGGATTCCAGAAGCCTTCTGCCTCACTTGACCTCAAACTCTATCCATTTTGACAGCCAGAAGTTATGGGGACTTCTCTTCCTGGAACTGGAACCTTGGGCTGGGGGGCCTGGTGTGGGGCTGGGATCCCTCACTCCTCAGGGAGGATCTCTGCAACTGAGGTATCTCTCTTGATTTTTAACCACCAGATGAGGGTGTTGGGCCAGCCTGGTCCACTTCTCTACTTGTCCTACTAGTCTCGATGTGGCCTCTTTAATTCCCCAGTTGTAGGACTTCTATTCAGCCAGATTTCAAATGGTTCTGAATGATGGCTGTTCTGAATTTTAGCTATAATTTTGATGTGGTTGTGGGAGGAGGCAAGTACCACATTAACCGACACCACCATCTTGACCAAAAGTCCTTTCCAGTTTAATTGGCAAAGGCAAGTCCCAGCACCCACAAGACGTGTTTGGAACCCACAAACTGCCACATGGGTGCCGATACTTTGTAAAACAGGGTCCATGTCTTGGAGCAGAAGTCATCTGATACGTCTTTCCTGACCTGTTCAGTGTCATTAAACCCCACTGCCAGGGAAAGAGAAACACAGGTTGTGTATTTCTAATACATGCAAAAACCCAACCAAAGGGGAGAGAGCCTCTTCCAGAGCCCCAGGCCAAGGCCCCACAAAGGATGTTTTCTCTCCCAGACATTCCCGCCCTGGGCCAGCTTCCCTTGAGTCCTCGATGCTAACCACACAGTGCTGTGGTGAAATGAGGCCAGACAGTCGCAGCCAAGGGACTGCTGGATCGGGAGCTGCCCAGAAAGTCAATGCCTGAGGAGCAGCAACAGAACTCTAACAAAGTAGTGCTATTCTCACAAGCCACGTGATGAGCGAGATACAATGGAAAGTTTCCCCAGCATCACATGTCACTCTCTACTTCTCCCTGCTGGCAGTCTGCGTACATCTACATGTAAGATCCGAGGACAGTGGTCCCCTGGAGGTGATCCCCATGAGCATTGGGCCTCTGCTCCAGAGCAGCTACCCTCTTATTAGGGCCATCAAAACATCCTGGCTGTGAGGCTCACCTTGTTACTAGTAAGCCACGGACAGTCTGATTCCACCGGACCAGATGCCCCCGAAGTCCCTGCCTATCTGATGCCCATGTCTCTACTGGCTCTCCCCTCTCCTCTCCATTCCTGTGTGAAGAAGAGCTGACAGAGAAGCATCTCCCCGGATGGAGACCCGGGACAGAGTACCAGGGCTTTGACTAGAGGTTTACAGGTGGCCCGCGTTCCTCTGGCAGGCCCGTGAAGGGGGCTGACCCAGCAACACAGCACAGCGGTGGATGGCAAGGGCTCTGGGCATTCCCACTGCTTCTCCGGGGCCCATCCGCAAGACAGAGTCATATAATCCCTGTCCCCAACAGGCCTCTAGGGTCTAATGACACCAACATGAGGCCTTAGTCAGAGGTTAATAGTCACTGATTACAGGTAACTGTGACCCCTCAGTCCAGCCCTCGTCCCAGCAACCCCCATTCTGAACTGCACCATTCACCAAGGCTCTCCCGCCACCTCAGGGAGGCCTGAGGCTTCCCTGCCAGCCCACAGAGTCTCCCAACTACAGGCCCAGTGCACATCTTTTAAAACCCCCACACCTGTTTCAGGAGTTAAACATGCACATTAATGATGCTCAGGCGGTATCTGTAGCCTTCATAGGACAGCCTGAGATGTCTGAGAAAGGCTAAAATAATAGTTAATATCCATCACAAAATAGCCCACTTCTCCTTAACACACACCAAGGACCCTCCCGTAGAGAAAGTGAGCCTGCTTCCAATCATGTGCTACTTACAGAGACATTTTTCAGGCACTCTTGGCAGGTCTTGTTTGTGTTCTGGGAACAAGCTGTGGGGAAAAGAAGACTCAAATCACTGAGAATCATGCCTGTCAGCCAGGAGGGTGGGGAGGTGGGTGGGGCAACTAGTGGGTGACGCACGGGGTCCTCGCCAGGCACCAAGGCTCCAAGGGACACAGATATTAGTTACTGAGCCTCACTGCAGGTGCACAAAAACAGCATACATGGCGCACCCGTGAAGATTTTCCAGGAAAGGTGATTCAGCATACCCTCAGAAGGTAAGCCACAAGGTCAGGTACCACAGACCACTAGCCAGTTGAGGCCACCAGTCAGCAGCAGACACTTTCTTCGGAAGTGAAGGCCACAGCAATGCCAGGCTCACGCAACTAAAGCCAGAGCTCCCGCTCTCTGGCTAGTCCCCCCAGCTCCCAGCACATACAAGAGAAGCTGGATGCAATCCTACAGAGTGCCTGGGACTCTCCCAGCTCTGCTGCTCCAGGGCGGGGTCAAACCCCACACCAAGAATGTGTGTATGAATGAAATGGTTCCAGTACGTTATCAGGCAGCTGCTATGTAACCCACCCCCATCCCTTAAAACAAACACACACTTTGAAAAGAGCTCTGAACAAACTCATTCATCACCAGGAACTGCAACTTAAAATCATGATAATATACCACTTCACACCTACCAATATGGCTAAAATTAAAGAGACTGACAACACTAAACGTTGGCAGGGCTGCAGAGCAAATGGGGCTTCTCGTACAGTTTGGGGAAAGTGCAAAGTGGTTCTACCACTTGAAAAAATAGATCTGGCACTTCCTCATAAAATCAGTATGCTTGCCTACCCTATGACTCCACAATTCCACTTTCAGGTATTTCACCCAGGAAAAACGAACATATGTCCACAGGAAGGCTTGTACAGGAGTGTTCATAGCAACTTTATTTACAATATGACAAAAGCTGAAAACAGCCCAGGTGTTCATGTGTGAAAGGATGGACAGACAAACTGGTACAATGGAATACTATTCAGCATTAAAAAGTAGGACACTATATATATAAAATATGTATGGTTCTGTAAACAATAATCTAAATGAAACCACTTAAAAATGGAGCTGGAGCTGCCAAGCTAGAAGGACTGTTTTGCACATATTCCCTCCCAAAACAGGAATGTTAAAACAGGAAAATAACCTTTGTACTAGGCCTGAGCAACCTTGTGTCTCAAAAACCTGTTTGCAAAGAAAGCAGGTATTATGACATCTGGACTGCAAATTAAAAACATTATTTAGAATTAATGTCACTATATTATGTTATCTGCACCAACAGCAATGCCTTCCTTCTATTGATAAAATTGTTCCCCTTCCCTTTCTCATAAATACCCATTGCTTTTGTCTCCTAATGGGAACACAATTTGGGCTACTGTCTGAGTAAGTGCATCCAGAATAACCAATCTTACTGATCGCAGATAAATGCTCATTGCCTGTCACTTTGAAAGGTCTTTTATTTTCAGATTAGCAGATCTTTTAACTCGTCCAATGGCATACTTACTGTTCCTGCACTTCATCACACGTACAATTTATCTCACGAAAAGACAAATTTTGCACAGACCAGTGTGGCTTCGTTGGTTGGGCATTGTCCCACAAAGCCAAAGGTTGCAGAATAGATTCCTTGTCAGGGCACAGGCCTGGGTCATGGGTTTGGTTCCTGGTTGGGGCACATGCATGATGCAGTCAACTGATGTTTCTCTCCCTCTCTTTCTCCCTCCCTTCCCCTCTCTCTAAAAATAAATAAAATCTTAAAAAAAAAAAAGACAAATGTTGAACTCTAGTTAATGATGTGCAGTGAAGTATGGGAGACGGGGGCAGGGAGTGCATGTTTGTACCTTACTTTAAAATGCCTTCATGGAAGAACATAGGGAGGACACCTGGACAGAGGCTACACAGCAAAATGTGAAGGATAAAAGCTGAGTGTTGGATACATGAGTGTTCACTATACTATTCTTTCAACTTTGCTGTATGATTTTCCCAATAAAATGTAGGGGAAAGAGCTTCAGCTTCAAGCTACAATTTCTATTTACTGTATTTGCTAAGTGGGACTTACTCTAAAATAGTTGGTTCTTCTATTCAATAGTCTGGTGCTTCTACACTGCATTTCTCCAAATAAAATCCTATTTTATTTTAAATGAAATGAAAATCCATTCTTTTGCCTATTATTCTGCAGGAATTATTATTAAATAGTAGTCTTTTCAGCATCTCTAGTGGTGTGCTATTGAGTTTATGTTGAAGCTTATTTTTTAACTACTTTAAGTCAAACTGGGGCAATTTAAACATCCAAGTGAATGGCAGCAATGGCTCTGTCCTCTTGCCATACTGAAATGAAATAAATAACTACAGAGAAGGTAACTAGCAAAGGTGGAAAGTAGCATTTCCACCTTGCAACCATAGCAGTAAATATGTGCTCATTGGTGGCAACTCCCCAGTTTAATCATCACTTAATCTGGAGAAAACGGCACCTGAAAAGGGATCAAAGTATCACTAGTATAACTTGTGACCACGTGATAAAAGGACAAAGTAAGAGGAGATGCACCCTCCTGCACCAGAGGGTGAGGGAGAAGGGCAGCCAGTAGTTGCATCCTGTCAAAAAACACATCGGAATCGAATCAAAGGAAACCCAGACAAGAACAAACTGAGGGTCTTTACACAAAGCGGCTCTCTGAAAACAGAGGACTGAGGAGCTATTCTAGAGGAAAAGATATTGAGAAACATAACTAAATAAACTGTATAAGCCTAGGTGGGTACAGAGGACAGGACTGGGAACATAAGATGTTACTGGGATAACTGGTAAACTGTGTACAAGGATGCATATGTTAAATCAAGTATTCAAGTATCTTATCGCTGGTAATTGTCCAGATTTTGGTCCTTATGCCTGTTATGTAAAAGAATGTCCTTGTTTCCAGGACAATTTAGAGGTAAAAGGCCACATAATAACTTACTTTCAAATGGTTTGGTTAAAAGCTTAACAAGCCGACAGGGAGAGGGAGTGGCAAAGCAGACGTGGCAAATGCTGTGGTAACAAAGGAATTCAAAAGCTCATTGTTCTAGTTACTTCTTCAACTTCTCTGCAGCTTTGAAATTTTTCTAAATAAAGAGGTAGGCAGGGGAGGCACGGTGAGAATCTGTACACTGCCTAACACACCTAGTCTCAAGGCCTTTTTGAAAACTTCTACAATAAAGGACACAACAGGGAGCAGGGGTGATGCAGCGCAGGAATTTTTTTCATGGAGATTTTTGTTTTTAAAGTCTTTGTGATAAATGGTCTTGTGTGAACTAAAAGAACCACACTCCAAAGCACATAACTAAACGTCGTCCAGCCCCAGGGCCTCTGATTATGGGCCAGGATGAGTCAGCCAAGAAGCATGGGAGGGGAGGGCCCAGGAAACTGCCCAGCCCTCTTCCCAAGCCTAGCACAGCCAGGGACAGGGCAGGTTTGCGACATCGACACATTAAACAAGTTCAGGGCTGGGAAATGTTATTCCGCTCTCCCTTGAAAACACCCCAACCCTCTCACTACTCTGTAAGAGGTCACTCACCGCACCTCATCTCATCGCGTGATGGGATACGGAAAACCAGGCGCTCAAAGCCAGAGAAGGTTTAAAAAAAAAAAAAAAAAAGCAGCCCTGTTTTCTTGAATCTACTGCTGAGTGTGAGTATCCTGACTTCTGAAATTGAATGACTGAAAATCTTCAACTTAGATTCTATTTATCAATGATTAGAAAGTTTTAAGTCTCACTCACTTAGGAAATTAAAAGACCAAAAAAACCCAAAAGGGTTCTGTAGGATACACTAACCCATGACCCACTTTTGAGTGCTTTCCTAAAGTTTCAGGTGAGTCAACTGATTAAATACAAGAGGGCGTACACTAGCATGTGTAAAGAGATATGGTATTTTTTAAAATAAGAAAACAAATTAAGTATATTATTTACAGTCCATATGTCACACAACAGGCCGAAGGACTACAGTTGCTGAGCCCCAAGGCAGTGAAACAAGCCCCTTAGCCAAGCATTTGCCCACACTGCACATGACAGAGCCTACAATGTCCATTTCACATGAGAAATGAGGGTGGAAAATTCACTTAGACAAAAAAGCCCTGGTCATCCTGGCTGGATAGCTCAGTTGGTTAGGTGTCGTCCCATGCACCAAAAGGCTACAGGTTCAATTCCCAGTCAGGGCACATTCCAAAGCTGTAGGTTTGATCCCCGGTAGAGGTGCACGCAGGAGGCAACCAATCGATGTTTCTCTCTCTCAAATCAATAAACATGTCGGTGAATGAGGATTAAAAAAAAAAAGAAAGAAAGAAAATTTTAAAAAAGCCCTGCTCATCTTCCTATCCCTGCAAAAAAAGAGTAAAGACTGTAGTACATAAAACCATGGACATGTGTGCACATAGAGGAACCCCTCCATCACCTGCTGAAAAAGTCCCAGCTCTTGGTGGGAAGCGGGAAGGAGGGCTGCAGATCGCTGCAAACCCAGCTCCCACTATCAGGAGCAGGCGGGTGGCCCCACGAAGCTCCTTTGGATCCCTTCACTGAGGACACCAGCCTGAGGTCCTTTGAGGTGTCATCTCTCCCCTAGATGTACAGATGAAACTCTGGGATGGAGTCTGACCTCATGCACAATACAAATGGGATCCAAAAGCACAGGAAGATTTCTTCAATGCTCTCAAGTACTTCAATGGCTGGTGGGTTCCTCATGTCTCCCTTCCAGCAAAGCACATAAAAAGATAGTACAAATTGTTGGTGTTGGATGGGTGTGATATATGCTTAGAATTCACACACCTGGGAGGGTAAATTTTATGTATCACCTTGACTGGGCTAAAGGACACCCAGAGGGCTGGTGACACCGTACCTCTGGGTGTTGTCTGTGAGGGTGTTTCAGAAGAGATTAGCGTTTCAACCAGTACACTGGGGAGAGCAGATGCCCAACCCCACACAGCCTATTGATGGGTCCAAAACCAACAAGCAGAGGAACGTAAACTTGCTCTCCTCTTGCTCAAGCTGGGACTTCTATCTTCCCCTGCCCTGAGACATCAGTGCTCCTGGTGCCTGGGCCTTCAGACTGGACCGCAACTTACACCATCAGCTCCGCAGTTCTCAGGCCTAGAGCTACACCACTAGGTTTCCTGGGCCTGAAGCTTGTAGCAGGCAGATCATAGGACTCCTCAGCCCCCATTATCATGTGAGCCAATCCCTTATAATAATTCTCTTTTGCTTTTCTGGAGAACACTGACTAACATCCTCACAAGGAAGACACAATGTTTTCAATAGTGGATACTCACATTCCTATAGTACCACAAGCAGCAGCAATCTCACACTAAGTAAACACCCTGCGGGAAGGAGGGACCTCACTGCTGTAACACTGCCCCCTCTCCAATAAAGGTGAATGCAGACGCCAAGGGCCCCTGGGCAGTGAACACCAGAACAACAGGACAACTTTCCTCCTGTCTGAAGGGGCTGCTGATGAGAGAAACAACGGTTTGCCCACCAGTGACCAAAGACTTGGGGTGGATCTAGGAAGCAAAAAGTGGGGTTACTATAAGCTAAAGCAAATGAGAGCAGTTTCCAACTGCATTGACAGTGAAAGCAGGCGTTGCTGCGCAAAGGAGCTGTTTGTTATTCCAAATACTATAATGTCAGTTCTAGTTTAATTCCCAAACACTTCAGGGCATTTCCTGACACACACCCTCAGCCACTGAGAGATTCTTGTATAATCGGATACTTTTGGCAGAAATCCTCACAGTTTGCTAAAAAGTACTCACTTTCCATTTTGGCTGAGAACTCAAATTAGACCAAAAGTTCCCTCTACAGTGCAACTGGACTGCCTTGTTAACAAACATCATGAATACATACGTAGAATTACATCAGGAAGTAGATTAGAAGAAACTCAAATAGTCCTGTGCTGGAATAAACATGAAATAAGGTCACAAAGAGAAAAGGTGTTTGCTGTGCTAAACAGACATTGACAAAGCCTGGGCTAGCAGGAGTTGAGAAAAATACTGGCCCCTCAAGCTGGACCCAGGTCCGTTCTGCTCGTAAAGGTCTTGAAACGGAGACTAGGAGCCCTATGCAAAAACAAACAGGCAGAGGACTGTGAATCTGCCATCGTCTTTCTCAAGCTGGGACTTCTATTTCCCACTAGTGATCACATGGGTACTCCACACACAGCAGAGAAGCCAGCTTGAACCATTTCTGAAACAGATAAGACACTACAGCCCCAGCTCAAACTCTTCCTCATTCTCCACCAGGCCCTGCGGTTATCGCCCCCCTCACCCGGCCCCCATGAAGCCACCCTCCAGCAACACAGTACTCGTTTCTGCAGCTCTCGCCTCCAGGTCACGCAATTTCCTCCACTATCGCTCCCCTCACCTACTCTTCCTCCCAGCACTCTAATAACTTGTTTCATGGTCAGTCTCCCCAGAAACTCAGCATCTCAAGGACAGAGAGGAACTCTGGGTCAACACCGTGGTCAGTAACAAGTGCGATAAACCAATGAAGAAGGCCCACGAGTGGAGGCCTGTTCCGGAGTGTGGAAAGGAATCAGCTTGCTGCAAAGTGGCAGACACTATGGCACTGTGTATTCCTGCTTCTACGTTAGGCCCCGAATAACTCCGAATACCCCTCCTCGCTGGAGTAGTGACCACGCCACCAGCCCCAGCCCTCAAGAATTTGGCACCGGGACACCAGCCACGACCAGCTGTGGAACTCGAGCAGGTTCTTCAGTTCTAATAATGCAATCCTGACTCCGAGCCTAAACCCAGGAGCTGTTTCCGAGAGGGTCGAGGGTCGGCGGTGGGTGGGGCTCAGCGAGACAACAGTGGCTGAGCCAGGCCGACCCTGCAGGCTCAGCGGAAATGCTCTGGCTGCGGATCGGGACCACCTCGCGCAGCCGCGGGGGGCGGCGACAGCAGCAGCAGCTGCTGAACCAAGACAAAGGGACGGCCTGCCACCTCCAGGCGCCCCAGCAGCGGCTAGACCCGCGGGACCGGACACTCGAGTGGCCCCAGTCTTCCACGTCTATAGACCGCGGCCCAGGACAGGTTGCGGCCGCGACCCCGTACCCCTCCGGTCTCCCTTCAAACCCCAATGTTCTGCGCCCTCTCCCACCTCAAAACCGGAACCCCCTCCACCGTCCTCACCCACTCCGGGCGACTTCTGCCCCGCGGCCGCCGGGAGGAGCAGCAGGAGCAGCGCGGCGCCGCCGAGAGGCAGCCTCCAGCGCACCGTCTGCCCCCAAATCCATCCGGACCCCATAGTGCCTGTGGCCTAGCTGATCGGTCCGTCAGCCAGGCAGCCTCTGCTGGGTAGACTCGCGCCGGAAGTGGGCGTGGCGGGCGGCACCGATAAGTGCGCAGCCGTGGACGCCAGTTTGCCCCGCCCCTCGCCCTCAGGCCCTCCCCTTGCAAATCTTGCTCCGAAGCTCCCTGCGCGACGCGGGCGGGGCTCAGCGCGCCTGAGCAGCTGAACTGCCTGGGCGGCGAGGGGCCCAGCTGTGTGTAGTGCGCGTGCGCGGCTGAACAGTGCGCGCTGTGCTAGGGTCCTTTAATTAGCTCGCGTGACTGTGAGTAGCCCGCCGTCGCCTTGACTCTAAAATGGTGAAGAAGCCCTGGAAAGTGGCCCCACGGACCAGTTGTACTTCAGCCCCCCTAGGTTTGTCCTGCGGGCCACTCAGAGCAAATATTCGCCCTACCCGGTCTGGAAGACACACCCCCGTCTGTCCTGGGGACCCTGTTCCCTGACACCCTCGATGGCCATTCATCGCTGACCCACCAAGCTCTCTAGAGTTTGTTCTAGTCAGACTGATCCCTACCCGTTTTTCCACACACCACCATCGCCTCCCCAGACAGAACCCCCAACTTCGCCGCCAAGAAGGAAAAAGTGGCTGTACATTAAATCAGAGGCAGAAAGTAACCTCACAGGTGTTAGAATGTACTGGGACGTGGACTTAAGCCGCCGCCTGAGCCGGAACAAAGAAATTCCCCAAATCAGAAGCAACTGAGGCATAGCTGCTGGTATCCTGCTGGAACCTGGTGGAACCCCTCCCATCCCCTTCGAACTTTCCCGAGTCAGCCCTCCCGGATCTGAAACTCAGGACACTTGAAACAGATCAGCAGGGTGACTCACCCTCTCCCCCCCCCGGGGTCTGGTACATACCTTAAAAGCCCTACCCTTTCTCATGTGGCTGCCTTCCCTTCGGACCCAGCCCACCTGATCCCAGACTCCCCACCTTGAATGAAAGCCCTTAATTGGACTTCTCTGGCTCCGGATCCTTTCTTAGCCACCTAGGCTACCTAATAACTGATGAACTGATCACAAATCTCTAACTCATATTCAAGGTGGGTAGTCATTCCCCAGGCATATAACTTGTTTAGTAACAGGTTATCTTTGCCTTAAGCAAGCCCTGTTCACTGTCCTTGTGCATCTAGGTTAACTGTTGAAATGCCAGAGTTATTAAATGTTAGGTTAACTCTTTTCAGACTCCTCCGATGCTAAACACCCCCCAAGGGAGCCCCTGATCTTGGTAACTATCCTGTAACCCAAACATAGAGATTTCCTCTTACCTTCAAGTAAACTTCTTCACATTCCCTCATTAATTCCAAATGTGTAAAAAGAAAGGTAAAACTGTCATTTGCCAGAGCATTTGAGACTTTGCTTCCTGGTCAGTTGTCAGTTTGGGTCAAGTAAAATGAAAATTCACTTGGCCAAATGGCACTGGATCAGTCATGACTTCCAGGTTCCCCGCATGAGATGGCTACAGAAAAAGCACTCACTTTAAATTCACTTGCTTCCTGCACCTCCATCCCTCGAGAGCAGGTATAGCCGCAGGTATAGCTGCTGAAGAGGAGGTAAGGGATGCTCATTTCTGGGCTTGCTCTGCCCTGTTCAGGCTCTGTAGGGCCCCCTTTGGTGGGGCTGCCCCATGTCTTCTGAAAGCTGCTTAAATGTGGGGCAGGGACTGGGACCAGGACAGGGCCTGTATAGGACCAACAGATGAAGGAGATAAGAAAGTTGAGCCTGGGCCAGGGATTGAAGTTGGCCCCCTAAATGTGTTGAGAGCAAGAGGAAGGAGGGAGGACAGAGCCCGCAGAACAAGCTCCCATAGAGAGACTCTAGGAAAGTTTATTGATGTTTTCTATACACGTGATAGGGGAACAGTATAAGCAATGGATGTGCTTTTCCTGATAAGTGCAAATATAAGTACAGTTTTACCACCTTTCACCAGACTTGCCATCCTCATTTTTACACAGGAAACATGCATGTAACCTTATAAGACCCCCGCAATCCCTTTTGCAAGTCTGTATTGAAAGGTCATACATATCAGAAGGGGGAACTGTGCCTCCTGAGGAATCCATATAATCACCTTGCCCTGTCATTTTGAGGGAGAAAATAACAGTAGGTTTTCAGTTAATAGATGAAATTGTCAGGCATTGTAAGACATGTCCACAGAGCAGGGCTGTAGTCGGCTTGATGGAGGAGACATGGTTTGTGGGTGGTTCCGTCTGGTTGGCTCAGACGACCTTGTCTTCACCAAGTGCCCTAACTCTCAGCAAACTTGGGGTTCATGACTGTTGTGGTGGCACTCTTGAAAAGGGGGTTATCCTGGTAAGAAAAGCAAATTGGACTTGTGAGTGCAGGGGAGGGAGGAAGGAGGAGTAGGGTGACCTTCCTGCTGGTTCTGGTCCCATTGGCAGGGCTCACGCCCAGTAGCTCTAAGGATGGTGGTGGGGGAGGGTAGATGGTAGCCATGTGTGTGGGTTGCACAAGGACTCTAGGGAGAACGACCCCCCCGCCGCCATGTGGGACCAGGGCCCTGAGGGATGACCACTCACATTGTTCCACTGAGACTTGAGCTTCTCCTTCTCGAAGCGCTTGTACTCCCTGAGGTCACTAAAGTGGGTCAGAGCTTTCCAGATGCCCAGCAGGAGGACACCGATCAGCACGACTCCTGCCACAGTGCCCCCCACAATGGCGGCTACGTTGGGGCCTTTTGGACACTCTAAGGTGGGGAGGAAGCACAAGCACACCCAGCGTCAGGCGCTCTCCAGCAACAAGGCCCCATGGGTGCCCCTATCCCAGGTCACCACACAGTGCTCAGGTGGACACAGCTTTCCCATTATCCAGCTTACAGCCATCGGTAACTGAGCAAACATCCTGACCTGGCCCCCAGTCTGGGTCAGGGCAGGGCTGGGGTCAAGGCCAGGCCACATAGTTCCAAATGAAACTGTGAGGATTCTTGTTTACAAAGAAAGAGGGGCCCAGGTTACCAGCTAGCCAGGGCAGAGCATGAATGGGACAGTGCTGTGAACAGGCCGTGCCTTCTAGGCCACACGGGAGGCTCCCGTTGTGGGGAAGGGAGCTGAGAGCAGGTCTCAGTCCTGCAAGGGCCCTGGTTGACTGCTGACCCACATGCAGGCATGTGAGTAGCCAGATATCCCGACCCTGTGTCCCTTCAGCCTCTCTGAGAGCGAACAAGGTAGAGGTGCTGAGAGTTTGTGGGCTCTTGATGCTGCTTGTCTAAAGCCCTTAAGCCATCCATGGGGGTCTGTTCACCACAAGTCCCAGTGTCCCACATGCCCTTTGTCATTGTCACTCAATGTACTTCCTCAATATTGACCTAACCCCACCACCTGTCATGGCCTATGGATCCTGTACCTGTTCCTGATTAGGTTCCCGTGTTCCATCTATGGGCAGTTCCCTCCTCTGTCTTCAATACACCCAACGACCCAGCCCAACCCACCCTGCCCATCTCCTATCTTCAGCACCTGGACCTCAGCAGCCCCTCCAGGTCTGTGTCCAGCTGGCCCCTCAAAGTCCTGTGTCCACCAGGCCCCCCACAGATCAACATCCACTCACCCTCCTCTCAAAGGTCTGTGTCCAGATTTTGAAAACACAGTTCAGATGCATCCCTCACTCTCCTGAAATTCTACTAAGGGCTCCTTATTATGTTTGGAAAGAGACCCAAATGCCTCCCGCTCACAGGGCCCTCAAACAAGAGGTCCCCAGTGCCTCAGACTGTATACCCTCTGTCCCCCATTTATGGGCACTCTCCTCCTACGGTATGACATGCAATGAGTCCTCCTCTGAGAGGCCTTCTAACCTCTGGCCTCAGGAAGCATCCCCTGACACGCTCTTTGGGACCTATGTCCCTGGCTGCAGCCCTCCCCACCAATCCTGGTGCTAGTGTTCTGATGCGTTGGCCGAGGGCTTCCCACCCCCTTTCACACATTTCACACAGGAATCCTGTGATAACAGGGTTGAGATCTCAGTGTCCTTCACCATTACTGGGCCTGGTACAGACCCAGAGCCAAGCAAATGGACAGTAAGCAGCACTTGGAAAATGCGATAACCTGGTCTCCCGGGGGTCTTGGATTCCCTCATTCCAGGGCCGAGCTCTGGGCTTACAAATGACCCCTTGGCCACATAGCTGTCCCTGGACTAACTCTTCGGCCCGGGGATCCAGGCCTTGGTCAGCATCCCTGGGGTGATCACCAGCTTGGGCCATGTGGTCCCTCCAGTGGGGTCCTGCCCCTTTGAGCTAAGGCACAAGCTGTCCCCTGGCCCTAACACACCAGAAGATAAAGCCAAAGACTAGAGGAGAGAGTCTGGGGCAGGAAGACTGCAGTCCTGGGTGCTGGCATGACCCTGCCAGGCTGGCCTTTCCATGAGGAGGGGGCCCTGCGCAGCAGCTTCACCGCACCCAGAGGCCCCATGGCCCAAGCTCTGGCCCCCACATCCCGTCTGGCAGGGACTCACCTCGAATCTCTTCCACGTGCATTTCATATATGCCCCTTCCATCCACCTGCCACATGGTATAGCTCATCCAGCAGCTTTCTGAGTCCCGCTCCCTGCACTTCCAGGTCAGCCTGGGATTACTTTGCTCACGGGGCTCATTCCGCAGTTTCAGCTTCTGATTGCACGCCACACTGCAGTTCTTCATGAAGGGGCCCTTGTTGAATTTCAGGCACTCAGCACAGAAGCTGCAGAAGAGCCATTGCGTGAACATGTGTGCAACAGGGAATAATACTGTGTGAAAGCACGTGCAAGCATGTGCAATGTTATGAGAGAGTGCTGGTGTCTGGTCACCAGGGTGGCTCAGATGGGGCTGGTCCTGGGTGCTCTGGGGCTGACACTGGTGCCTGTGTGACCCGTGTGGCTCGGGCAAAGGTGGTGCTCCTCGGGGGTGAGGTGGGCAGATCTCCTGGGACCAGGAAGCCTGACAGATGGGGTCCAAGACAGCCTGTGGCTCTTGGAGCTGAAGGACAGCAGTGGGTGTGCAGAAGTGTGGAGGAGGGTGGCCTGCCAGAGCTCCCACCTCCCCCTGGGGCCTCAGCCAGGGGGTGGATTTCTGCTGGGGGCTCTCAAGCGCACAAGTTTCGAGCAGGGGCAGCACTTACACGTTCTCACCGCAGGGCGAGGCACAGGCCACGCACTCCTCACAGAACGGCCGCTGGTAGTCCTTGTCGCACTCGCACACGTTGCAGACGCACTGGCCACGGCCACTGCAAACGGACCGCCGCAGGTTCAGGCAGCCATCTGTGGACTTCTGGCACTGGCAGGCCGAGCCGTCGAAGCCCGGTTTGCAGAGGCACTTGCCGCAGTGGCATTCCCCACGATCTGGGAAACGGTGGGGCCACCACACAGTCACCCCTGCCCAGCCCCAGACCCCCGACCCAGCCTTCCACTCACCAGGGCCCGGCCCTAGGACCTGCTCCTGGGGTTACATCATTCTGTCTGTCCCCACCATCCCCTCTGTCCCTCATCCCCTGAGAACTCACCAGTGCCCCCGCAGATTTTGTTATTGTAGCGCTCGCAGTTGACGTTGTCACACTCGCAGAACTGCCCGAAGATCTTCTTGTTGGGCATGTCACTCGCGTGGCACACGCACTGCCCGCAGATGCAGTCCCCCAGCCCCGAGCAAATGATGGAGCTGTTGTCTTTCCGGCAGCTTCCTTCCAGCTCCTGGCTGCTCCGGCCCTGTGTCTGGCACTCACATTTCTTCCCAATGTAGCCGGCATCACACCTGGACAGGAAGGACATAGCTCAGGGCTCCTCCCCCAGGACCCTCTGCTGTGTTTGTGGCTCCTGCCCCAGGGGATCGGCGGGGGCGGGAAGGGGGCTCACCTGCAGACGCCGCACTCCACAGAGCCCTTGTTACCACAGAGGCTGCGGTCCTGGATCCTGTCCCTGCACTGGCACTCGCACTGAGGAAGCAGTGACACGGTGACTGTGTCTGTGAAACCCAGCGCCCGGATGACAAATGACTGCTCTTGGATGCACTCTGTGGCTGTGACCCTCACCTGGAAGGTGACCTGTGTGGAGAACAGAGGGCTCAGGAGAGGCCAGGACACTGGGGTTGGGACCTCACTTCCAGGCATGGAGGGCACAGGCCTCTCAGGGGTCCCAGGAGGGAGTGGATGGAGGTGGGGGCAGGGGAAGAACCCAGAACACTACGAATTTCCTTAGAACTTAAGACTTGAGATAAGAAAGGGATGAGATGCCAGAACATGGCATAGCAATCCCATGATGCTCCCCATACCCGCCATCTCTGGCCTCGACTTCGGCTGGGGAGAAGGTTTTCAGAATACTTAATATCACACAGGTGTTCAGAAGGGTTTTAAAGTTACTTTGTAAAGGACATACACTTTGTCCCTAAGTACAGGATGCTAATGTGCCCGAATCCCACAGGAGGTCCTAAAGTCTGAATGCGGAATTGTGCTCGGACCCTGAGTAAAGGGTCAAAATCATGTCTGAGAGGACAGACAGAGCAGAGTCCCCCCCCAGCCACATGCCTGCTCAAACTGGACATCAGCCCCGAGCTTCAGGAAGCTCCAACTTGTGAAGAGTAAGGCACTGCCAAATCAGTTTTGATAAATTTCCAAATGGTACATTAACATAGAGCAAGAATAGCAGGAAAAATATATGTATGTGAAGCAATCAGCCAACCACGAGATTAAATAAGTTCTTGTGTGAATCACCCCGTGCAAGAAGGAGATGTTTCAGTAAAAATTCTCACATAACATTTAGTAAGTAACACGTTTGAAGAACTTCTAATGTCATATTTAAAAAAGCAATCAAAGCAAACATTTTGCTAAATATTAGTTCATAGCCAGTAAAAGGAAAAATGTAATTGTTATGGTCATGATAAATTTTAAATATTAAGGAAATAAATCACTGCTTATTTCTAATCATCTGCTTGGCCCCTACTTTAATGTGTTTTCAAAAAACAAAACAAAAACATAAATCAGGAAAACCAACCCAGATACGTAGCGTGTGGAAGGAACACCCTTTACTGGGATGCGCTGTTCCAGCATCTGCTCCCAGGGGGCGCTGCTGACCTTGTGGTCTTTAGGGCTACACCAGAGAGGTCTTTGGTGTTGACAACTAGGTTGCGCTGCACAAAGTACAGTGCTAAGGGCACCACCTGCTTCTCCTTAACAGGTAAGATATACTTACATGGGTCCTGTTTTGCCTCAGAGAGGATTCTAAAGGAAGGGAGCTGGACCTCTGGTGGACAGACCTTGGCTCCTGCCCCTGACTCATTTCTGAGCTTTCCCTTTTGTCTGGGTGCACGTCCTTCCGACTGTCACTGGGAGAACACCTTCTACAGTATTGGGGTGGAACCTCACCGGGCTGTTGATCTGGACACCGTCGCAGTCCCCTCTGGGCTGGTTAATAAGTGATACTCCGTTACTGCAGAATGAGTCATAGGTGACTTTCACAGTGTCGGGGACGATGTTATGATCCAGAAAGACTCTGGAGGAAAGTTTCTGTGGGCAAAGAGGAGCTGCTGATTAAGGAGAATTGTTCTGCTGTTCCCAGGCCTTTTCAAGTCATGGCTTTTGCACGGTTCCCCATCCCCCTCTCGCTTCGCCCACAGGCACACTGGGAGCTGGGGAGGTACTTGGTCCTGCGCCCTGTGCAGCGGGTGTTGGGGTTACCAACACCACAGCTCTGCCCTCAAGACAGACCAGTGAAGGAACCAACATGGAGACAGATCACAATCCCGTGAGGAAGGGGGTTTGACCCTCCCACTCACCACTGAATCCCCAGTGCCTGGCACAAGAAGTAGCTGAAAAACTGAAATGCATGAAAGACAGACACAGAGAGAGTGAGACAGACAGACAGACAGTTAATCAGAGGGATAGTCAGGGGAAGAGATTGAGAGAGAGAGAGAAAAAGAAAGGGAGAAAGAGGAAGAGAGATGGTGAATGAACCAATAATCGTGCGCCACCCCAGAAAAGATGGGAACATCCATAGGCAGCAGCTGAGGTTCAGAAGGACCCACTTTGGGGGTATAGAGCTCCAAGAGCATACAAGAAGCCATCAGAACCTCCTCAGTGGGGCTTCAACTAAATTCAATGGCTTTGGCATTGTTAGGATGCTCCTGGCGAGCTTGGCTCAGTGAAGCCATCAGGACCTTTGGCCAAGGAGAAAACCTGGGGGCTCATGTTTCAGAGAAGGCGCTGGTGAGGGTCCAACATGACACATGCCACGCCATCAACAAGAGAAGACACAGCTGCTCTGTTGGAAGTCCAGGGTCAGTTTGTCCTCAAGGCCTGAGGGTGGCCCATGCAATGTATGGGCTCTCCCCTCCTCCAGGCCACCCTTTTGTTGACCTGCAGGGGGGTGGCACCAGTCCTGAGTCCTGCTACCCAGTGGAGCACCCAGCGACTCACATTGTAGGCATTCTTGATGAGCTGGACCACATTGCTGGAGTCTTCTGACAGCTCCCCGACTGCAGATTTGGGGATGATCTCAGTAAGCTTCTGTTGGACAAGAAGACCAAGTGGGTCATGGGTGGAAGCCTGGAGCTATGGAAATCTCAGCCTCTGCCAGTTTGTAATGCCCCAGAGGGTTCCTTCTCACCTGCACAATGATTTGGACAATCCCCCACCCAATATCTTACAGCATTTTGTTAAGACAGTGCGTAGTCTGTGGTGTGCTGGTACATCGGGCTCTCAGGGAAAAACCCCTGACTTGTAGCATTTTCCAATTTCCTTTGTGTAAATACTCCACCTGGGTATTTCACACTACTGATATCACTGAGCAAAGAGTTGAAGAGAGGTGTGCCTTGCCGTGGTTAGATAGTGTTCCCACCATGGGGACTTAACTTGTGCAAACCACCAGGGCATAGGTGATCGAGGATATGGCAAAGCCTCAGGAAGGGGTGAGTTTGGAGCATTTCAATAAGTTGATATAATTGAATTCTAGTAATGATTGTGTTAGAAACAATGTGATAGTCCACTCTGGCAGGCCAGCATCAGCTGGTTCAGCTGTGCCCGTGGGGTAGCAGGCCCAAGCACCTGTAATGCAGACAGGTCTGGAGCCAGCCTCCAGGGCACCTTTGACCACTTCTTCCCCCCACATGCCTTAGCCTGGTCAAGGGTCATGCCGTCATTCATTGACAATTGCTCTAACACTTTATCTTATAGAATTGATGGTTGGGTCAATTTCTCGCCTTAAAGCCCTTCTGTGATTGCCCAGAACGGAGTTGTGCCACCTCCATGGAGCTCACAAGGATGGTTACAGCCTGGTCACCAACCCCGTCTGGCCTCCATCACCCAATTCCCCTCCACTCCAGCTGCGGGACTCCGCTGTGGCTCGGGGAAGCTGGGCCCTTCCATGTCTTGTCCTCTCTGCCTTGCAGAGCCGTGTTGCAGAAACAACAGGAGGGGCCAGCACACACTGTCCTTACAAACTATTGGTCACCTTGACACCCCTTCCTCAAAAGCACTGGGAATGGGAGTCGGGGAATAGGCTCAGAAAGGCCTGTGACCTGCCCAAGGCCTTGTCTATGCTACTGGGAGGGCAGGGTTTTGGGTTCAAGTCTCTGTCTCAGCTTCCGCCTTGTCATCACTATGTCTTCTGGAATGCAACTCCTGCTGCTAATAATAAATTACCAGGACCTACCACAATGTGATGAGAAGGGGACTGTCATGTCTCATAATACGGTCAACACGGCAGCTGCAAGGTCCTGACCTGCTGGTGCCCATGTAGCTAGTGTGGGTGGCCTTTGAACCTGCTGCGACCAGCCAACCGCCCTGAAGGGAGCTGAGGCCCTGTGGCTTGGCCATTTCCCACTGTGGCTTGGCCGGTTCCCACGGCCTGTCCCCTCCCACTTCTCTGTGCACCTTGCAATGTCCTGTCCTTACTCCAGAGTCCAGGATTAAGTGACAGCAGGAACTACTGGTCTCACCGCTGGCCACAATCCAGCACCCCACCCCTCCTGATCAGGGGCCACAGCAGGCCCACCGGCGGCAGGAGAACGCTGAACAGGGCAAAGGGGAGGTGAGGTGCCAGGAGGGTCTCATGCCCATCAGAGCGAGAGGAGCTCCCTCGCTGAACTTTGGTGAAATACCAGACACACATAATGGTGACCAGAAAGAGAGAAGGACAGACAGGGCAACGCTGCTCTAGGAACAAGAGAGCCCCCACAAGAGTTCCATGCTACTAAAGAATGTAGTAAAAACAATAATTCAGTAAAGTCAGGGAGGACCGGCGTTCCTGAGGCAGAGAAGAGGGAAGTGATGTTGGGATGTTAATGTGGAGGCTTCCGTGGAGAGATGGCCGCTGGCGGGCGCCCAGGGTCTGCTGGTGATGTGGGTGTGCTTCCCTGTGAAGTCCACCAAGACACATGTTTATGTTCATGAACTTTCCTGCAATATCTCATACTTCGTGAAAATGCTTATACTCAGTGTATGTGGATAAAAAGCAAGAGTCTCCTAAAAGGAAAAACTGGTTCTGCTGATCCAAAACACTTCCTATGTTGTAGCAAAAATGAAAACCCCAGAACCAATGCCAAGACATATGCTGCAAATATACTAAGTTTTAAAGGAAGCAATCCTCTTGCATCCACCCAGAAATATCATGTGGCAGAAAGGGGCTTTGGATTTCCCAACAGCAGCATCCACACCTGTAAGCCCATGGCCCTGTGTGGCCTCCTGCCCCATACACTCAGCATGCAGAAGCAAAACTCAGCCTATGGTGACACTAAAATGGCCGTGTCCTACCCTATTGCTCAAGATCTCAAATCCACTTACTTCATAGGTTGCCACCATTTTCTTGGTCACAGCAAAGATGGGTTGGATGTTGCTTTCAGCCAGTTTGTGCGCCAGCTGGCCCACGGATGGGTAGTCCTGGAGAGGAGACGCCCAGTCAGACAACGCTGAGGTTGGCCCAGGCTATCCAGGCTGACCTTCCCCAGTGCTAAGCAGAAACGACTGCTGGGACCCAGAGGCTGAGCCCTTCCACGCGCTGTCCCATGGGCCCTTCAGGATAATGTTGATAAATGCGTAACACAATAGGATTAGGAGGGAAGCCAGTTATATGAAAACACAGTTGAGAATGATGACCCTGAGAAAAAAGAGAACTAGCAAGAAGGCATAACTGGGCTCATATTTTAAAACAGAACCTGGAAGCCATTTCTGAACAGGGGCATCTGTGCAAGACATGCCTCAGGGAGAAGCCTGCACAGAACTGCCCATCTGCACTGTGCTCCTGCCATCTGAGGCAGGTCTCACAAGAGAGTTCCTGGAATTGTATTTCAACTCATAAGGCTGAGTCTTTCCAGGCCCAATTGGTGCTGCACAGGTAGATCCCCAACAGCAATCTTCACTGACCAATCAGAGCGGCTCCATTCTGACCAATCAGGACAGTCCCTTTGTGGACCAATGAAACTGTGAGGATTTGGAATCCTCACTTGCATAAGAACCAATTGATGACCAAGGACAGGGACTTCTCTCTCTATAAGTCAGCTCCCGTCTAGCTTGGTGGGGGAGGGCATTTTCTCTTTCCACCAAAGACTGTGTTTCCCTGTCTGCGAGTGTTAACACCAGAGCGAAGCCACCTCAGCAGACTGGAGTGGAGCAGAGCTGTCTAGCCAGCGCGGCCAAGCTGCAACACCAGGGCTGAGGGGCTTTACCCAGGGCAACCTCACAGCTTTATCGTAACTGAGCTGTTTGCACTGAATGAAGATTCTTCACCACATCCCCACTTGGTGATTCCTGTTGGCATTGAAGTGGTAATGAAATGGCACCAACAACCATCAGTTGACGAGAAAATGTTAAAGTTGTGATGTACTTTTGATCAGTGAACTAGAGAAGAAACCTCTCTCCAACGTGCAAAGCAGAGACAAGAGGGAACAGAATTTGGGGTATCTGTGCTTGTGGGTGCTGGGGAATTCCTCTGGCTTCCATCGGGGCAGGACTTCACGCACCACTCCCAACATGGGGCACCTTATTTTCATCATTGAGAGACAGTGTCGATTTCAAGAAGGGGTTCACTAGAACCTCAGGAGGCACATTTTTCCTGTCCAGGTTGTAGACCCCTGAAATTTATCCACAACACCCTCCCCTGGAGTCTGTAGGCTCTGGGCAAAGACCCCCTGAGTTATATCATCTCTGAAGTGCTCTGTAGGGCACAGGGTTTACGATTTCAGGGCACAGAGCATCACTTCACAGCAGGCCAGGTGAAAGTCCAGAAGAATGTCTGATCTTTTCGTGACATTACAGCATCTTACCCTAGATAAAGGGCCTCTTTCCGTCCCTCTGAACCCTCAGAAGTGCTCTCTGAGCCAGCCTGGAGGGACCCTGGCCTCTGGTACCCCTGGACAGAGCTATAGACATTCCTGAACTTTCCACTTTGGCCCAGTGTTTCCTCCCCAGTCCCTTGTGCTGTGTCCTCTCCCAAAAAGGACCCTGGAGAAGGGGTACTCACAAACTCATTGCTTTTTTTGTACATGTTGTCCTCAAGGTGGCAGTGGCCATCATTGGGGGTCAGGATGGCTCCCAGCTTCCCATCGCCTGCAATGTGGAAGCCATCGTCTGTGGCAAACACCAGCAGCCGCGTGACGTTGCGCCAGCCAATTTCCTCCTGAGAAGAAGATGGGGTTACCTGCCTCAGTTTCCTTTGTGGGGCTCTCACAGAGGAGAGTGACAAGGTGCTATGCTTGTCTCCCCACTCTAGGGTTTTGGGCAGGAGGACCCAGAGGCAAGATGTAGTCTGGGACCAGCTTCTCGACTCTGGTTCCCACATGTGGTCCAGATTCCAGCTGCGGCTGGAGGTACCTCTGTAGGACGACAAGTTCCCAAACGCTCAATACATGTGTGGGACCCTGAGGGGAACCGAAATGCATGTTTATGTGAAAAAAACATACAACCCCTGAGGCCCAATCAGTGCAGACCTGACACTAAATCCTCAGGTACTATTCCCAAAGAAGAAAATACTTGTGGAAATGTTTATCACAACATAAAATCACTACAGACACAAAGAGGAAAGAGTGAGAGAGTGAGGCACATTAGCAACACACATATCATCACTGTGCCCTCGCACAAAAATGAAGTATGTGTCTGGGACGCAAGGACAGCAGTACGGAGGGACCCGTAGAGACTCTGGGAGATTAAAAGCCAGTTTGCAAAGCGTCAGGACTACGTGGTTAAAAATATGAAGTGATGGCATTGTTCCATTGACATCATAAATCCAGTGAGTGGATTGACCAGACAGGACCCCATGGGTGAGGGGCAGGTGGGGGCAGGGGATGGTCGCTGGGTGAGAGGCAGTCCAGACATGGCCAACTAAGCCCCATGACATGGGAGAGCCTCTGAGGGCACCCCTTATTTCCCAAGGGGCAAGGAGGTCGGCGGGGATTCCGCTCTAGGAACCGCCAGGATCTGGCCACTCAGTGGTCTTGCTTTACAAGATTTTTTGCTCACATTTAGGCGTCAGAAGATGTGCCCCGCATCACAAACTGATAGTGTCATCCCTGGGTGACTGGAGGGTCTTCTAAGAGTGTTCAAGGTGAAGGTGGAACCTGTGGATGTGGGACCAAGGTCCCCGGGTTGGGGGACCCAGGGACAGAGCAGGGACTGGGCCTTACCGGACACGCCGCGACCTGCATCATGGCATCCAGGCCCCCCTCGGGGGCGTCCAGGTTTCCCGAAATCAGCTGCTTCCCAACTTCTCTCTGGAACTGGTTGGAGTTGTCGGTGAGCTTCAGCACGTGCTTGAAGGCAAACGGGGCCTGGCACTCCTTCTCCTTGTTGGGGCATGGGTTCTTCAGCTTCTCGGGGTGCGTGTTGACGAAGGGCAGCACGGTCTTGTCCACGAAGGACCCGAACCCTGAGGGGCAGCGGCGGGGGCGGGGTAAGTGGGAGAGGCGGAGGAGGCACCAGGGGGTGGGAGGGCAGGGCCACAACCCTGGAGAGCAGGAGGATGGAGCCTCGGTTTGCCTGCTTGGCACAGGGCAGGGGAGAAAGGGAGATGGCCCGTGGGGTGCGTGACTGTGCAGGTGAGTGTCCAAGTGTGCGCACATGCGTGATTAGGTGCGTGTGTGAGTGAGTGTGTGAACCCACACACAGACACAACAGCTCGGAGGGAGGCAGAGATGAGGGTGCCATGTTCCATTTCCCTTACCCACGTGTGTGTCTAGGACTTGCCCTTCGTAAATGAGTCCCTGCTCGCCAAGCGCTGAGGTCCCTCGGCCGGAGGCCAGGGCTGGGCTTGTTTGCCATGATTATTTCATTCATGGTGGGATTATGCTGCAGTCTGTATACTTTTGTGGCCTTTAATGTTTTAACGACTAGCACAGTAGAGCTATTGTCTTCCAAACATATTGAAGAACAAAAAGATAAGGAAGGAACGGAGAGGGAATGCAGGGGTTGGATGGAGTCAGGTGAGCCAGCCCCCAGGTATGGCCTTGGCAAGGATGCAAACAGGGATACTGTGTGAAGCCCCCAACGCCCTGTCCTTCAGGACACGGGTGGGGGGTCGTGTGTGGGCAGCAGGTTCAGCCAAGACGCAGGGCAGGGCGGAGCAGCGGCACCCACCAATGCGGCCAGACTCGGTGATTTCATTGAGGGCCCGGAGCAGGTCGCCCCCCAGCTTCTTGACGTTGATGAGGTCATCGAGCATGGAGTACGACAAGTCCATCAGGTAGTACAGGTCGATGGGGTAGCCCTTGGCGCGCCGGAAGGTCACGTTGAACACAGCCTCCTGACCTGCCACAGAGACAGGAGAGAGTGAGGGGCAAGTCGGTTTGGGCTAAGCTAGTGTAAATGGTCACTTGCGTGGCTGGCTGGAGGACTTAGCAGAGGCTCTGCGCTGCCTTCTCAGAGGGGAACAGAGGGTGTTTTCGAGATGCTTTTTCCTTCCTTTTCACAAAGAACATGGAATACAGGACTGAAAGACGCCGGCCTGCCGCCGCAGAACTCCAGTCCGTGCCAAGCCTACCTGGCCTCAGATGGAGCGTTACTTTCTGCGGGAACAGCTGCTTCTGGCCCCCCTCCTGGTTCTCCGTGGTCTCAGCGAAGCTTCTGGGGTCCATGATGTCATCCGCTTCACAGCCCTTGGCTGTCAGCTCGGCCCTTGTGTCACAGCGGACGGAGTCAGGCTCCCCTGGCCCCGGGAAGTTCTGGTGGGGGTGGTGCGGGGGGGAGAGGGAGAAGCATGGAGGGCCCGCACCATGGGAGTGGCGCAAGGCTGACCTTCAGAGTCAGGTGAGGCTAACCCTCCTCATTTGCTCTGGCACTCAAGACAAGTGTCCCTGTGATAAGGGGAAAAGGTAGGGGGGCTGGACAGTCCCCAGGGAGACACCTACCCCACGAGGCCCCCAGACCACACCAGAGCCTGGGGACAGGCAGTTGTCTCACATGCCTCCAGCAGCAGACACCGCGTGAGAACCAACGTCCAGTCCAGGCTGGGTGTTGGGGGAACCTTCTGTGGCCCAGAGCTGATAGCAGCCTCACTGAGCATCTGGCCAGGGGTTTCTGCCCTCCATAAGCAGAGCCTTTGTTGGTGGGGTGCGCTCTCTCCCAAGGAAATGTGGGTGTCCCCTCTGAGCCTACCTGGCAGTCCCAAGGCATCTCAGGGCACACATGGAGCCCCGGAACCCAGGCCAGAGCTCTGGACAAGCCTTTCACAGTCCAGAAAGAACAGGGCCATAGCGGAGCAGAAGTACTTTCCTTGTAAACCTCCCCCTACCCGCCGCTCCCATAAATGCCCCGCAGATTTTGACACCAGCAGGAAAAAGATGTGGCCACACTGGCTGGGTCCTGACGCTGGACCACAGCCAGCTGCACCCACGGAGGGTGTGCTGACACAAGAGTTGCTACAAAGCATGTTCACGTCTCTGCTTTCTTTCACAAGGGAGAGTAACCAGACAGGCAGGAGGCTGGCTAGGTGCAGGGGCTTGGTGACAGGGGTGGGGACAGGAGAGGGGACAGAGGAGGAGCCATGCTTTCTGAGCTGCCTCTGTACTGGAACCCCGCTTTTGGAACCCCGCGAATGCTTCAAGTACTCGCGAAATAAAATTAGCTCAACAGGAACAGAGAAGAAACAACCCCAAGATGTCGCAGTTGAGCCTACCAGTATTTCAAATGGACGTGACAAGCTCATGACACGGGGGCGGGGTGGGACCCCAGCCTGAGAGGGATGTTTCCACCTGTGCAACGGCACCCCCATCAGGAGGGGAACACAGACCACACCGACTTCTCCCACGAATTGCTGGGGGTAGCAGCGTGGGCTGGCGACTCTGAGACCACTTTCTGTGTGGTGTAGGATTGAGAAAATAAGGAAATCTTTACAGGTGTCCAGAGCCAGTTATTCAGAGGAGGAAGCCAGGAAGCCTCAGAGAGAGACTCGATTCAATGACTGGGAGCGTCATGTTACTCCAGAGAGTAAGACAGGGCTCGAAAATGAGGCTGGGGCTGCCAGAGCCAGTCTGGAGGGGTGTCCCATGACCAACTTGGGAACAATGTGAGCATGAAAATGTCAAAATGGCAGGGATAGATTATAAACTACAAGATACAGTAAAAATCAATGGGTTCCTACCTATGAGAGAGATGGGGAGTGGGGATCCTCCTGATATCGGAAGCTATTAGGAGTCAGCCACCCATCTCAGGGATGACTGATTTGGGGACAAATCAGGGACAGAGGCTAAGGTTCTCGGTGGAGGCTTGATGGGACAGAGTGTTTCCAGGTCTCAAGCTCCTCCCTACAGATTACTTTGTGCAAAGGAAAACAGTGACTTCACGGTGCACAAAGCCCGACACAAATGATTCTAGCTAGTGTCACCAATATTGGGACAGCGACAGCATGAGCCCCTCATGTGGGGCTCCCACCAAGTGTCCACCTGGACAGAATGAGCGAGAACGGCAGACAAACCCATAATGAGGGGCAGCGCACAGCCCTGCTGTCCTGAAGCTTCAGGCATGTCAAGAGTGTGAAGAATGTTCCACATTCAAGGAGGTGAAAGAGACGTGACATTTGAATGCAACGCGTGGTCCTTGGTTATAATATTGACCAGGGGGAAAAAACTCTGGTTGTTTTGGACCTTTGTCTTTCTTCCCAGGGACCCCGCCCATTAAAAAACTGAAGACAAGAGGGAATTAGGGTCCCAGGAGGAAACTCCTTCACTTCTCGTCCATATTCTGAAAGCTGGACCATCTCTCACCTCCTTATGTGCCCTGGGCTGCAGGGGACACAGGCATGAGCCAGCCTCTCCTGCAAGCGCCTCCCCCTGCCTCCTGCCCCCTGCCCCCTGCCCCCTGCCCCCTGCCCCCTGCCTCCAGGGGCCCAGGGCGCAGGGCCTGGACCAGCCCAGCCCAGCCTCACTCTCTGGTCGGCCTCCAGGACAGGGTTGGGTCTGACTGTTTCTCTGTGAGTTAGACAGCCTTTTGCCCTGTTCTGTTCCTGTCCCACTAGGAAGGAGACCGCTGATGGTCCTGGGTGCCTGCAGTTCCAGAGGCAGAGAAAGGGAGTCCAGCCCTGGAGGTGTGCAAGTGAGAAGGACCAGCCAGGAATGAAGCGCTTACCGGCTTCTGGCACCAGGCGCAGCCAGGCCCTGACTCGATGCATTCCTGGCATGTGCTGGCCTTGTATTTGGTACACTCCTGGGAGAGAACTGGGGGCAAGATGAGACAGGCTCTGTGAGTGGGGCTGCTGACCCCACATGGAGTCTGGCAGGCATGGGGGCTGCGAACATGGATGGGGTGGACAAATGACCAGGCCCACACACGGGATGGAAGGAGAAGGGGGTCCACAAGAGGATCGGGAAGGATGGGATCACCCAGGGGGCATGTGTCTGCCAGGATCCAGACGGGGGCCTCCTGGAGGGTGTGAGGGTGGGTCCCTTCCTTCCCCACCAGGAATGTCCCACAGAACTCACCGGACCCAAGGGAAAGCAGACAGGAGAGGGTGAGCAGCAGGCAGTGCTGACGCAGCATTTCCTGTGGAGGGACAGGGCCTTGGTGACGGGTCCTCAAACCCCAGAATGTGGGGTTTACTGCCCAGGGAGCCCTGCCTCGCCAGCCTGGAGATGCAGAGCCAGGGGGCCCTGTCCTTGCTGCTGAGGGTGTTCAGAGCCTGGGGGAGGCCAGCAAAGGTCTGTCTCCTTGGCTGCCCTGCAAGATGGCTCCACACCCCTGGGCCTCCAAGGATGAGCAGAGAGGGGGCCTCATTCCAAGAGCACACATGGGCACACATGTATGTATACAATCATACCCACATACCCACACCACACACATCACACAAGGGCATGCATGTGTACACAGCACACATACAAACACACCCATCATGCATACACACACGTGCACCACACAGAGACACTACGGACAATATGCCACGCACATGAACACATGGGTGCACATACCACACACATGATAAATGAGTGCAGGCCACACACAAACATGTGGTGCTGCACACTACAGACCAGGCCCACGGATGGCCTTCATGTTCCCTGAGTCCTCAGAGAACTGAGCATTGCATGACCCAAACTTCTGGCAGATAGCAGAAGCAGGACCAGAAAGAGAAGCCATCCCTGAGCACCTAGGGTGCCCCTACATACGGGAGGGACACTCCAAGGGGGTGTCACGCAGAGCCACTATCAGCCTGTCAAAGGCACTAGCTACAGCTGACCGTTCTTCTGCTTCTCTTGATGCACACCCGCTGTCCTTATAAACCCAGTGCCGAGGTGAGACGTGGACAGGGCATCGAGCGAAGTGGCTCATTCAGTGGTCACTGGCTGCTGATGCTCCTAGCAGCACGACCACGGGCGCGGAGCTGGGGGCCTGGAATTCGAGTTCTGCCCTGGTTCTCGGAGGCAGAGGCAGGACCTTCTAACACATAGCCCACTAGGAAGGGAGGAGAAAGAGACGCCACAGGGGCTGCAGACCCGAGGCTGGGCACAAAGCAGCAGTGGTCCTTTAGCACTGCAGGGCAGGGACGGCGGGGCTTCCTGGGAGGCTGGGTCTGCAGGTCTGAAAACACTGGAGCTGACTGTGACATTTCCTCTGACACCAGGGAAGCGAGAAAATGAGGAGGTATTGAGAAGCAAACAACCAGGAGTTTGCAGGCAGGAAGAGGGCGTGTTTTGTCAGAAGCAAAAATCAACACAACTCACCCTTGCTGTTCTCCCCGGGGCAGGCCTCTGAGGCTCCTTGGGCGCCCTGCCCCCCAACACACTGCATGATGGTGGTGGGCCAGCAGGGTGGCCTCGGAGCCCCAAGTCCGGGTGGGTCTACCCTCGCTGGCAGAGGCTCCGACCCAGAGCTCACCTGCCTATTCTGGGGACTACGTGGTCCCTGCGGTGGCCTGTAGGGCTCTGGGCGCATGTGGGCCCTGCCATGGGTCTCTGCGCTCTCCCCTTCCCTCTCTCACGCAACCCCAAGTCTTTGTCTTTTTGGGGGTGATCTTGCTCCCTGCTTCCCACCAAGATTACACTCAGGGCCTGGAAATGTCAAAACAGACCCCCCTATTCTTCCTGACTGTGTCAAAAGCAGAACCCCTGCCTACTCTGGCTTCCTGGGTCCCACGAGCAGTCAGCAGGGGAGGCAGTTTCAGTTCACTCCAGGCCCCCACTTTGTGGTCTCCCAATTGTGGGGCATGGGGCTTAGGCCAAGCCCAGCCTCAGCTTTCCACCTGGGCCCCCCAAGGTTTGGCGGCTGGACTGGTGCCCTGAGTTCGCCCACTGAACCCTCAGCTGACCTACCCTATCCCAAAACACAAGGTCCAGTCCACCCCCACTTCTGAGGCTACGGGGCCTCCAAGTAGAGGGTGAGGAACCCCGTCCCCAACGCAGCTCTGCCCCTCGTCCTGTGGTCACAGGCCTGACCCTCCCAAACTTTCACCACAACCAGCTTGTGAAGGCCTCAGGTCCGAGCTGCAGCAGGATGTGGCCCCGGACACAATTACACTTGCTGCACTTCTCCCCACAGGGCCGGGAGTGCATCTCTGTCAGGGCAAGGCCCGCAGGCCGCAAGGCCTTATCTTGACCACAGGAAGCTAGGGAGGCAGGGAAGAGGGCTGCCCTGTCCCCAAGTGTTACTTCTTACTTGCTGCAGCAGCGGGAATGGCCACTGTGGATGGCCCCGTCCCACCACCGCGTGCCCCACAGGCGAGGGGGGATAGGACACCTGGATTCATGGCAGCTCTGGGAGCTCAGAGGGTGGACAGAGGGAAGCGGGCACAGCACGGAGCCTAGGAGTCAGCTTTCCTCTCAGCTGTGGGCAAGCAGGACTGGGGCAGGACTCTCCTCACTGGGCCTTGGGGCACCGGGCCACAGTGGCTGTGCATGGCAGCCAGGACGGACCCTTGGAGGCTCAGGGCCTTGCCTGAATCTGGCTTGTCGAGGCTCACAGACCAAGCTCTCCTCTGGGCATTGGCCTGGAGGCCAGCCCCCGGGTCAGCTCTTGTGCAGTGCCTGAGCCTGGGTGGCAGACCTGCCTCAGTGGCTCACTCCACCTCAGTTTCCTCTGTGTGACTGGAGGGGTTTGTAGGCCTGCCCCCAGCCCTGGGGAGGACAGGCTTAGATTGCGATCCTGTGTAGAGTGACCTCAGCACCTGAGGACCCTAGAATCGGCAAAGACAGCTGGGGGGAGAGTGAATAGGCCAGGAGGAGGCCCAGGGCTGAGCAGAGGGGAGAGGGCAGGACAAGGAGAGAGGACGGGCGCAGGTGTCAGCCAGGCCACCCGAGTCCAGGCCTGCAGAGCACGTGCCTGAGGAGGTGCTCCAATGGACAGCCCTCTGCCACCCTTCTGCTGGAGGGCCGAGTGCCCTTTCGCCAGCGAGGCTGCCATCTCACCAGATCTAGGAAGTGCCCCTTGCCAGGACTCAAGATACTAAGTTAGGCAGTTTGAGAAACTCCAGGCCACACCAGCCTGTGAGGACCCTGCCCACTAGGGGAGGGCCGGCACAATCTAGAACAATTGTAGGAAAAGGCACCCTCAAGTCCCCTGTACCAGCCGGCTTCCCAAGAGCCTGGGCCCAACAACCAACCCCCCCCCCCCGCCCCCCTGCTGCACCCAGTGGACGCAGCTACTGAGGGGCCTGCCTCACTGCAAAGTGCTAAGCAGTCAGGCTCTGAGATGTGGAAGGAGCATTGGAAGGAAAATAGAATATTCTTTCTAAACCACATGAAAAAATATCCATATTTGGTGAAGTAGAGAAGAAAAAGGAAACATTAGAGAAGAAACACAACTTTAAGCAAGAAGCAGTGGGATGCAAAGCATGTGAGTCATGATAAGGAGATGGTATCGGTTCAGGCCTGGCACCAAAGAGGAAGGTTTTGCTGAAGTGCAAATCCTCAGCCTAGGCCACTCGAGCTGCCGTGGCCCCACCAACCATCAGCACTTGGCATGGGAACTTGCCCTTGACCCTTGGGGTCAGAGAATAAAGCCACCTGAGTGCTGACTTACCAGAGGCCCCAAACCAAGGGACAGGGAGCCATGAGCACAGATGACGTTCTGGGGAAGGGAGGGAGAAGGAAGAGAAGGCAGGGGTCCCTCCTCATTTGGGAGTGGATGAGTCAGGGCTGTTTTATAGAGAAAAAAGGAGAAGTTTACAATGGATGTAAAAGAAACATCAGCCTTTTAAAATCAAAGGCAAAGGGTTGATATGTAATCTGTTTTATCTGCTTTATATCGATGCAGAAGAGAAGTGAACAGAGTTCATCTCCAGTGGGGGCAGGAACTGCGCCCCCGCAACAGATCTCAGAGGTCCCGGCTGACCCCGGGGACTAAAGGGCATGAGGACTGAGGAGGACGTAGGCTGCCGTTCTCCAAAACCCCAGCTCCAAAGACATTGTCCAAGTGCCCGGGGACATGGTCACAGCTGTTAATTTCACCCCCGGTGATGTTCAAGAGCAAAAATTTGAAGATACACAATTTATGACATAATGGAATAAAACAAGACCTACTCACAGCCCACCCCACACATTAATTAGAAATTTTAAAACACTGCTGTCTCTTTTTAAAAAAGTTTTTATTGCATTTTTTCCATTACCATTGGTCCCCCCTAATATTTCCCTCCTCTTGACTATCTCTTAGGTCAGAAATTTTCAACCTTTTTAATCTCAAGGCACACACAAACTAATTACTAAAATTCTGTGGCACACCAAAAAATTGGTTTTTTCTAATCTGACAAAAAAAAAAAATAGGCATAATTTTGATTCATTCACACCAGATGGCTATTGCTGCTTTGGCTGTTGTAATTTTTTATCTGACAATCTAAGGAGAAAGAGGTCAGTGCCCCTGACTAAATAGTCAGGTCTTGCATGTTTTGAAAATTCTTACAGCATACTGGTGGAAAAGAGCTATCTTAAGTCGAAGAGGAAATCCAACATATTTACAAACACTGTAGAAAAGGTGAGGCAAACATCCTCTGTGTAGGGCGAAGGCACCCTCTGTCCCCCGGGGACATTAGGCTGATGCCCTAGATGCTCTAGCTTTGGACGTGAAGGAATGACAGTTCACTTCCAGGGCCGGAGGATCTTAAAGTGAGAGAGAGAGCAAGGCAGCTTTGGGATGGAGGCCGGAAACACACAAATAAGGGCGGAAGTCAGCAAATGCGAAAACAAACACAGGAGCAAAACTTGATAATTACATCGAAACCCATTTCCTGGGAAAAAGCAATAAAATGGGTCACCTGGAAGGGAAAAATGTATGACAGTCATGGAGGCGCTTTGAAAGGAAGAGTCAGTGCCAGCGCAGGCAGGGTTGGTAGTGTTAATTACTGGGTTGTAAATGCACTAAGGAGCTAGGAATTGGAGCCCCAGTGACCCTGGCTCATGGGGTTCGAGGCCCCCCACTTCCACCCAAGGCCAGCGGTCTTTGGTCTGCTGAGGCCATGCACACCCCGCGCCTGGCCCTCAGGGATGCACCTGCTCAGGGTCCCTCACACCATAGGCATGTTAAATTCAGTTTCAGGAAATCAAATGACAAAAGAAATAGTA